TGCAAGAAAAATGCCCAATCCGCTGTCCTATTGCTCCAGCCCCAAAGTGTACTTCTGAGCATGCTTCCTTCTCCCCATGAAAAAGAATAAAATATTGTTGGGGCTGGACTAGGCTGTCAGGATGAGCTGTGTGAACCCAACCTGTGTAGACTGTACTACAAACGGGCAGGAGCACAGGGATCCATGAAAATGGGCGAGATTACTCGTGTGTCCTGACTTGTTTGGATGAGGCTGAACATCTCTTTCTTCAAGCTGTCTTCAGTTGCACTGCACTGCACTGTACTACCGTTGTTCATTGATTTGTTCGAGCGGGCCCAGTAACATCTCCATTGTGAGACTTGTTGCTACTGTGTTTGGCATCTTGAATATGGCACGGGTAGCTTGCCAGGCTTTGCCGCATGGGCGAGATACTCTCGGTAGCTTGCCGGGCTCTCCAAGAGGGGTGGAAGAATCGAACTCGGGTCGGCCAGGTTGGCCCTCGTGCAAGGCAAACGCCCTACCTACTGTGCTATCGCTCCTTCAGTAAATAACTTAAATTCAGTTTACTGAAAGTCAGTCTTCCTCTTCTCACAGATCCCAAGTACTTAGCCTGTTTGTTTTTAGTATGCAGAAAAGCTTTTGTCTTTGCACGTTCTTTAACTTCTTTGTCTTTGCACATTCTTCCTGTAACTTCTTTGTTGATGACCTCACTGTATTGAGCCCTCTAGAGCTATGTACGGTAGGATGGTAATAAAAGATCATCTCAGGGTACTCTACCTTTGTCACAGGGACTGAGCGAATCCATGATCCTCCGTAAAAATAATTTCTCTCTCATTCCTTGTCTCAGCGCCTCCAACTGAATGAATATTCACACAACAAATATCTCCCAAACGAAAACAGTATTGTTCATCATCAGATACTAACGCCATCAGACACTTGTTAAAAACCTTTTATGAGAGGGCCATAGTGCTAGTCCAGCAGGTAAAGCATTTACCTTGCATGTAGTCGACCTGGGTACATTCCCTGGCATCCTAGAGGCCACAAGGGATCCCTGAATGCAGAGCCAGGAGTGAGCCCTAAGCATCTCTGGGTGTGGCCCAAATCATTGCCCCTCCGCCCAAAAGAAAGCAGCTGAGTTCTACGCATTCCAGAAGGAAGGGTATCTCACTGCAACACTGGAAGCAGCTACAGGATGGGAGGGGCCCAGCGCCCCCCACCTCCTCGCTCACTGTGGAATCCAAAAGAATCCCTAAAGCTGGTTCCTGCCACTTCTGAGAAAGTCAGGGAGATACGTGGGGAGAAACATCCTGGTAGAAAGAATTAATCACGGAAAAGAAGGGTTGAGGGAGCAACAACAGCATGGCAGGAGGGTGCTTACCTTGTACACAGCTGAAGCTCGATCCCTGACACCCCAGACAGGCTCCCAAGCCTTGCCTGAGTGAGACCAAGAGTAAGCCCTGAGCTTGGGTGTGGCCCCAAACCAAAACTGATCAAAAAATATTGAGCTGCAGGGGGTGGTGTGTGTGTGTGGACTCTTTAAGGTCCACTGCTTCCCAAAGTGGGATGGAATGGGGGCTGCCCAGGATGTCCATCCAAGGTGAGGCAAGAGGGAGCAGGGCAGACTTCAGGCCACATCTGGTGACAGGTCAATTACTGGACTGTACTTTCCATCTGGTCATTTTTCTAAATTTTTATTTTTATGAACTTTCTTTGGGGGGTAGGGGGCATCACCTGGCCTTCTTAGGGCTGACTTCTGACTCAGCTCAGGACACTCCTGGTGGAGCTCAGGGGACGATGTGGGATCTCCGGTAGGACCTGCCAGGTCAGGCCTGGCAAGGCCAATGCCTACCTACTACTCTATCCCTCCAACCCCTCTCCTGCAGTGTCTCGGGGGGTGTGGAGGTACTCCCAAGCAGTGCTTTGGAGTTCTTAGGTCATTCCTGACATCTCAGGTGAGCTGGTGATTCAACACAAGGGCCAGATGTGCTGCCCTCAGGCCTTGGGATGCTGGCCCCCAAGTTCACCCCCAGGAAACGCATCCAGCAAGATGGGGGACCAAGCTGTGCAGGGCATGTGGAGACGGAGCCCAGCTTGGTGCATACCTCACACACCCGGTACCATATACAGAATACTTGGGGGACTAATGGGCAGATGCTGCATATCCACTGAGGAAGCCCCTTAGTTCCTCTGATTGGGATAAGCCACCGGCCGCCAACAAACGACACCACACCACACCCTGAGGGCTTGCGCACCATCGGTTTTTAAAATGCATCTATATTATCGTCACCGATCATAACACACAACCAGAAAGTGGATTACAAAACGTGAAGCCGTGTTACTTTGGATAGAGGCGGTCTGGACAGTCACAGCTGGACAAACACAACCAGCACGAGACGGGGAGTCACACTGGAAAGCAGCCAGACACGCACACATACACGCACACACACCTCACACAGCCGGACTGAGCGGTTCAGCTTCCCGACCACGCCTGGGCTCAGCCTGTGCCTGCTCCTCCTTTGCCCTCCAGCTCCCACCTCTTAAGAGGCTCCGGGACCCCCCCCCCGCCCACACACACACCAACCAAACAGGGCTCTCCTTCCACCTCTGGGATCCCTGCTAAGCCACACACAGCAGGCCTGGGTCTCTAGGCCATGCCTCTACTTCGAAAACCCCTTTTCTTCCCCGTGTGCCTGGAGACCCAGCCCACTGGCTAGGAGAAAACGGGGTACACTCTAAGAGAGAGAGAGAGAGGGAGGGAGAGAGAGGGAGGGGGAGAGAGGGAGGGGGAGAGAGGGAGGGGGAGAGAGAGAGAGAGAGAGAGAGAGAGAGAGAGAGAGAGAGACCAGCCTCCATCCATTTAAAGGGCTGGTGTCCCCTTGCTGCCCAGGTCTCGCGCATGCTCTGGAGTTCCCACTATTTCTGCGGCTCTGATGTCCCCGGGATGGATGAAAGGTCGTCTCTGAGGTGGGGTGCCCTTGACAGATATACACCCCCAACCCAGAGCAGTGCTTCCCTTAAGCCAGCATGTGCATTTTTTTTGCGGGGATGGGGCACAACTGGTGGCACTCTGGGTCTGTTTCTGCCTCTGTGCTGAGATCGCTCCTTGTGGGGTTCGGGGCTGGGCTGGGGTCAGCTGCATGCAAGTCAAGTGCCCTTCCCAGCGACTTTCTCTGCATGCCGCCCCCCCCCCCCCCCCCCAGCACTCTGAAAACTCCTTTGTTTTCCTTCTTAGACCTTTGGCTCTTCGCAGAGAGAAGCCATGAGAGGCGAATTCTCGCTCTTCCAACCCCTGTGGCTTCCTGCTTCCATTGGAGCTAAAACTCATTTCGTCCACCCAAGGGCCCAGTTCCCCGGGACTGGATCCAGCCCCTTCCAACAGAACAGGCTGTGGGAGTAGGGGGAGGGCGGGCAGAGAAAGAGAATTGGACCTTTTAGAGGGCTGAAGTTGAAACAAGTGGCTCGCCTGGCTGCTCCTCTGAATACATTCTAGAGCATGTGGGCACCTCAACCCTTCACCCCCAGCTTTCGACAACAAAACGCAAAAAATGGAAATTGGGAAGAGACTTGGGGGGGGAGACGCAAGAGAGGGGGGTGGGGGAAGCACTGAGGGCCAAGGACACCCCCAAGCCCAGGCTGGCTCCAGGGCGGGTATCCACAGCTCTGGAGTTTCTATTTCCCACAGTTGAGCATTCCTCCAGAAAGCTCCAGAAACCAACCACCTCCTGAGCCAATCGCCATCCCCGCCCCCGCCACCCCCAGCCAAGTTTTCCCAGGACTCTTCACCAACCCCCTGGGGGGGAGCGGAGCAAAGTGCAAACATATCTGGGCCAAACAGCAGAGGCCTAGGCGCAGGGCGCCCAGGACAGGAAGGATAAAGACAGAGGCAAGAGAGAGAGAATGGGTGGGTGCCCAGTCCCGGCACCCGCCAGGAGTGACTCCTAAGCACAGAGCCAGGAGGGAGCCCCGAACAGGGCCCTATGCCAGGGGAGCCCTCCCCCACCCAGGCATCCCCGGGTGTAGCCCCCAGAACAAAAAGAAAACACAGAACTGTCGGGTATGGGACAAGGGGGGTTGGGCGCCTGAGCAGCTGGGGGTGCCGGGTGTGGGGTGGGCCGTCCGGACCCCGGCCTAGCCGGCATTGGGAGTCATCTTTGGTGAAGCAGAATCCCAGTCTCCCACGGCAGAGCTGGCATGCGTGCGCAGGAGCCAGGTGGGTGCTGCCAGCCATAGCATGAGTAACCGGCCACCACCCAGGGACCGGCGAGGCGCAAGCCAGCCTTTAAGCGAGAAAGAGAGGGCAGGGGGGAGTATCCCGGGGGGGCGCGGCCCTCAAGCAGCACACACAAAACCGAACCCGAGATTCCCTCCAAAGCACCCAAGGGCCCCCGCCCCGCACGGAGTCAGGGGCCCACTTCTGAAGGGGCCAAGCCCCCTTCTCTCTTTCTTAGTCAGAGCTAGAGCTTTTCCTCCTGAAGTCAGGAAAGTGGACGCACAGACCATACAAACTAGGGAATGAGCCGGCAGGGGCGGGCACTGGAACATCCGATTCAGCCTTCTGACTTCTGGCCCATATTCCAAAACGGCCCCAGAGGGCAAAGCGAGAAGTGGAGCTAAGCTAGGTCTTGGGACACCGAAACAAACATCTCCCCCATCTCTGTCCCCAACAGGCACTCAAGGGTGGGGCCGGGGGCCACTATCACCTCACAAATGGATTAAATTAAAAAAAAAGTTCCAGAACTCCTGGGTTCGAACTTCACCAGCCTGGAAGCCGCCAGCCGCACCCCTTCTGCAGCTGGGCTGGGCCCAGGCTCCGAGCCCCCTGCCGGGCAGGACCTTGCTCTGCATCTCCGGCTAGGCAGGCAACCTCAACAGAACCGAGAGGGGCAGGTGTGGAGTGTCTCACATGCAGAGGACGTGGAGTGGGGTTGGGGGGGTGGGTGAGGGAAGGGCGGGGGGAGGCCTGGGGGCTCCCCAGCATCGGGCCCTGTAGAGGCCCCGGCTCCTGTGTTGCAAGCTGGCTGCTCTGACCGCCACCCCTGTCACCGACAGCCTTCCAGGGGCCCCGTGGACGCATCCAGGCTGCTGTCTGTGTCCGAGGCCAGCGTCTGCTCCGTGGACATGGATGAGATGTCGTTGATGGACGACGACTGGGACGGAGACGCCTGGCTGCTCACCGCTGCATCTGTGCTAAGGAAACAGGGGGAATAAAACCCGGGCACGCCGCACCCCGCCCAACACCGCCAGGCAGAGGCCACACTGGACAGGCCTCAGGCAAGCCAAGGGTCCAGCTTCAGAGACAGGAGGTGCTCAGTACCCACGCTGCCCCCTGCAGTCTGCACTCTGCCCTCTGAGGCCTCTCTCTGCACCCCACTTTTTTTGAGGTCTCCCCCCTAGGTAGGCTTAGGGAGGAAAAAAAAGGGGGGAACATGACAGAAGTGACTGTCACCACAGACACACACACAGACACACACAGACACACAACTACACAGATATACACAGACACAGACACACACAGACACACAGACACAGACATACACACAGACACACAGACACACACAGACACAGACACACAGACACAGCTACACAGACACACACACAGACACAGATACAGACACACACAGACACAGAGATACAGACACACACAGACACACAGACACACACAGACACAGAACACACAGACACAGACACAGAGACACAGACACACACACACAGAAACAGACACGCACACACAGACACAGACAAACACACACAGACAAAGAGAGACACAGAGATACACAGACACACAGACAGACACACAGACACACACAGACACAGACACACACAGACAAACATACACACAGACACACAGACACATACAGACACAGACATACACACAGACACACAGACACAGACATACACACAGAGACACACAGACACACACAGACACAGACACACACAGACACAGACACACACAGACACAGACACACACAGACACGCAAGATGCTGTTTCCTGTAGAGCCATGTCCAAATGCTTTTGGGGGGGCTGTGGGGGCGGGTGTGGGCTGTGCTTACAAAGGCTTCCTTTCCAGGGTCAGTTTCCTAGAGCAATTCCCCAGGTGAGCTTCTGGTGGCAACGAGTCTGAGTGCTCAAGTTACAGAGACGGGGCCTGGGGTGGCGAGGGCAGGGACACAGTGTTCATGAGGCAGGGAGGCAGGTGCACGGTCCTTGAAGGAAGGCGCAGACACCAACATCCCAGTGACAAGCCCCAGAGGCAGGGACCCTGATTTCCCTCCAGGGTGACTTTGAGCATGTACCGGGGAGGGGCCCGGCTGGCGAGGTCACACGTGGAAGCTGCATGCCGAGCGATGAGAGCGATCACTAACCTGAAGTTTGGTCTTTGCCCACGCCGTTCTTGTTCCTTTCCTCCCAGTCCATCACTTCTTTGTAAATGAGCTCTTGGAACAGAAAGGCAAGTTAAGGGGCTGGAGAGAGAGCACAGTGGGCAGGGCACTTGCCTGGCACGCAGCCAGCCCAGGTCTGATCCCTGGTGCCCTACAGGATCCCCTGAGTCCACCAGGAGTGACCCCTGAGTGCGGAGCTAGGAGGAAGCCCTGAGCACAGCCCCCTGGGTGTGGTCCCCCAAAACAAAAGTAGCAAAGCTAAGAGCATTGCAGCCTATCTTCACTGTGGCCGAGTCTCTGAAGCCCTGCTCTCCCAAACCCAAACCGATCGGCCTACTCCAGGGGCCAGCACAGGGAGAAGCTGGTGTTTCAGTGACCTGGAGAACATGAATCCAGGCTGACATGTGCCGTTCCTGGTTTGTATCATAGCTCCACTCTGAACACTGGACTCAGCGGTGGTCTGGAATGTGGAGGAGGAAGAGGAAGGAGACAGAGAAGGAAGAGAGAGAGAAAAGAGAAGGGGGAGAGAGAGAGGAAAGGGACAGGAGTGGCCTAGCAAAGTCCCTAAAACAGACGCCATCCAGGGCCGGAGCAACAGTACAGCAGGTGGGGTGTCTGCCTTTGACATGGCAAACCTGGGCTCAGCCAGGAGTAATCCCCGAGTACTGTGGGTCTGCCTCCCCCAGAAAACAAAAGCACAAGAAGTAATCTGAGCTGAACCCAGGAAGGGCAAAGTGTGACCGGTTTCAAGGGATTTGGGTGGCAAAGCTCCGGAATATTAAGTTTTCTGTGCCAAGGTTGGTAAGGCTGGAGCACCTAGACCAGCTCTGGGGACTGGGGGGCAGAGAGGAGCAGTAGGGGGGCCTCTGGAGTCTTGGGGCACAGCCTATCATCTTAGCAAGAGGGTCTTCACCTGCCAGGCCTCTGAAACGGACTTAAGCTGAGCATACTTTGTTTGCTTGCTTTTGATTTTAGGGTCACGCCTGGTGGTTCTCAGGGGTTACCCCTGGCTCTGTATTCAGAGATCACTCCTGGCGGGCTTGGGAAACCATATGGGATGCCAGAGATCGAACCCCGTATGGCCTCGTGCATGGCAAGCACCCTACCTGCTGTACTATGGCCTGACCTTTATATGACTGATCCAAATATATAGTTGATCCAAACTACACACACACACACACACACACACACACACACACACACACACATTATATATATACACCCTTTTAATATGATTGACTCAGAATATTCTATATACAACTTAACTTTCTCCCTAAAGTGCAGAGCACTTGCCTTGCGTGTGGCAGCCCTGAGGGTCCATCCCCAGGCAGTGCTGGGCAGTGGGGTGGGGGCTGGAGGACCATGTCTGCTGCCCAGGATATAAACCGGGCAAGCAGGATGTAAGGCAAGGGCCCTCCCCACTGTAGTATCTCTTCATCCCACGATGCCTTCTTCAAAAATTAAAAAAGAACTATAAACCAATTTTTGGACTAAAGAAAAATGTGCCAATTATGCAGGGAAAAGTATAAGGTAGAATATGGTATTCAACGCCGTGGTCCCCAGCAAGCCTTTCAGCAACCTGCTAGTTGTATCACTTTCTGTATGAGAAAGCCAGAGTTCTTTTGTTTGTTTTTTCTTTTTGGGTCAAACCCGGCGATACTCAAGGTTTACTCCTGGCTCTGCACTCAGGAATTACTCCCAGTAGTGCTCGGGGGACCACCTGGGATGCTGGGAATCGAACCTGGGTCAGCCATGTGCAAGGTAAACACCCTCCCCGCTGTGCTATCGCTCCAGTCCCAAAAGCAGAGTATTGTGATTGGAAACCAAGCTCTGAGGATGGGAAGATCCTTGTGAGAGAGCCGCAAACACTGGAAGCCAATTCAGTTCCTCTGACTCCTGCTAACTTGTGCCCAAGTTCCCCCTGGAAACCTGCCTGGTGAGGCCTCACACCTAAAGGCCACCTGTACCCAGCAAGGTCCCACCCCAGCCCTTAGAGGCCCTGCCTCTAGGGAGGCCTGCCCACCCGCCCCTACAGACAGTCACCCCTTTAGACTGGAAGTAAGGCAACGGCTCTACCTTTCCACTCCTCGATGGCATGCTCTCTTTCTTCCAGCTGGGCATCATAGATCTGAGGCGGAGGCTACAAAGGAAAATCATACCCGAGTCAATGGAGAACAAGAAAAGCCAACAACCCAGTAAGTCATGACGGGAAACTTGAGCCATCTGGAAGGCTCCTGACTGCAAGGATACTGACTTCCAGTCATGCTGAAGCGATCCTCAGAGGCGTGAGATGGGACCAGTCTCTGAGTCAGACAGATGACAGGCTGGAGAGAAAGGACCCAGCTACAGGGCCAGGCTTGCCACCTGGCCAAACCCGTGTTAGTCCCCGCAACCCCAGATGTCCGCCAAGTCCCGCCAGGAGTGATCCCTGAGCGCAGAGCCAAGGTCTGCTCTGAACAATGTTGGGTGTGTCCAAAAACCCAAATAAAAAATCCAAAATTAACCTCCTCCAAACTGAGCTGCTAAAGGGGCCTCCCTCTGCCCCTCCGAGCAAGTTTCCACAGAGCAGCTGTGATTCAACTACTTCAACCGAGAACCTGTTTGGGCGGTGGGGGTGATCCTCAGGGGTGGGGGTCACCCTGTGAACTGCCAGATATGGCCCCCAACCAAAATAGCAATAAAAATGAATCCAAGAACTCAAGGCCTTTTGGGAGCTGTTTGGTGTTATTTTGGGTTGAGGGTGACCAGAGGGGCTGCCTGAGACGGAACCCGGGTCAGCTGCATGCAAGGCAGGGCCCCCACAGAAAGGCCACCAGACCCGCTTACCGCTTCTGCTTCCGCCGGGTCATACCAGACAGCAATATAGGGGTGCCGCAGCGCCTCGTCCACGGAGATGCGCTTGTCGGGGTCGATCACTAGCATTTTCGAGAGCAAATCTCGGGCTTGGCTGGCTGAAGCCGGAATAAACATTAGGCAAAAGGCAACTCAAACTGGAAAGTTTGAAGGTCCTGCCCTGCTAACCAGGAGGAGCCACTAGGAGAGAACTTTGAGGCTCCTGGAAGGAACCACCAATCAATGTCAGTCTCCTTTGCCTGATTTAAGGCAAGTCGGGCGGGGGAAATGGCTCGGGGTTAGAGCATGCCCAATTCGAACACACGCACTCCTCAACTTGGGGCTACCCATCCTCCCAAATAAGAGAAGTCAAATCCACCCCCCCCAAAAAAAAATCCTCGCAGCTGACAGCCAACATGCCCCTGCCTGGAGCCACAGCCCACCTCCTACTCTGCCTAGGGTCTCTGGCATCAATGACTGATAGCTCTTAATTAATGATCAGGGCTGTGATGAACGGGTTTTTCAGACATAATTTTTTTTTTTTCAGTTTTTGAGCCACATTCAGCAGTGTTCAGGGCTTACTCCTGGCCCTGCATCAAGGATCATTCCTGGCTGGGCTCAGAGGCCCAGATGGGGACTGAATTTGGGTCAGTGTCGAGCAAGGCAAACGCCCTACTTGCTGTACGACATATCACTCTGGTCCTCTGTGGTTCGATCCTCGGAGGCCCCGTTTCACTAGAACTGGCCCATATGATTCTGGACCACCTGGTTGTTTGTGGGCGTGAGTGCGTGTGGCCCTAATCGCTCTCCTCCTGGGATTCACTGCCTTCAGAATAAAAACCCGTAAAAAAGAGAAAAGAAACAAAAAAAAGGCAAAAAAGTCCCCCAGCCCTGCTCCCTCCACCCTTGCTGGTGCCAAACAAGAGGTGCGCTTACTTTTGATTTTGTCTCTCTCCGACTCTGACGGGAATATCCAGTCTGGAAATAGCTCTTCGAATTTGATGCCCGGGTACTTTGGTCTGTTCTCCACGTAATTCCTCACCGTGGGTTGGAGTTTTTTCATGAAATCTGCTGATGGTGTGCCTAGCTGTTCAATTACTTTATTCCACTGATCAATATCTGATTGAGGTCTTGAGGAAAATAGAACTGAAGGGCCTGGGCCGCACCCACCCCGGGATAAGGAGAAACTCAGGCTTCTGGTACATTCCTGGCCAGCAGTGATTGCTCTATTGAGGTATGGATTCCTAAGGTTAGTGCTATGCTCAGAAAGGCCTCCACTGGGTTCTTTAGGGAAACACGGTGGCTGTTACACCACTGACACTGGGCAAGGGGTGTCCACCCAGAGCGTCTTGAAGTAGACTGTCTCAGGAAGAAAGACAGGGAGGTCCGGTGCCCAGTAAATACTCAGACATGAGTGGCCTTGGTGGTTACGCTAAAACAGCTCTGCCAGGGTCAGAGAGAGAGCAGAGCCAGAAAGGCCGAGCGTTGCATGCAGCCCACCAGGGTTGGATCCCCGGACTTCACATGGCCCTTAAGCCCCCCTCACCCTGAGCATAGTTAGGACCCGGCGCTGAGAGCACCAGGTGTGATCCCAAAACAAAACCAAATAAAGAAAATGAGAGAAAGTCTATCTCACAGTGATTCAACAGAGAGAGAGAGAGAGAGAGAGAGAGAGAGAGAGAGAGAGAGAGAGAGACCCTAGTTCGGGCTAGAGAGACAGCACTAAAGCGTTTGTTAATTCCCGGCATAGCACGGGGCTAGCACAGGTCATCAGCCCCCTGACCTGCCAGGAGTGAGCCCTGAGCACTACAGGGTATCACCTCTCCACATATATAAATAAGGTGGGCGGGAGTCCATGGGACTGGATGAGCACAGGGGTGGGCGGGGCACAGCGTGGGAGGAGCATAGGAGGGGCAGGGCATAGGGTGGGAGGAGCATAGAGAGGGCAGGGCACAGGATGGGAGGAGCACAGAGGTGGGCGGGACATAGCTGGAGAAGCATAGAGGGGGCGGGGTATAGGGTGGGAGGAGCATAGAGGGGTCAGGGGCACAGGGTAGGAGGCACACAGAGGGGTGGGGCATACGGTGGAAGGTGCACAAGGGGCGGGACACAGGGTGGGAGGTGCACAGAGGGGGCAGGGGGCAGGGTCCGAGGCACGCAGAGGGGCGGGGCACAGGGTGGGAGGAACATAGACGAGGTGGGGCACAGGGTGGGAGGAGCATAGAGGGGGCAGGGCACAGGGTTAGAGAAGCATAGAGGGGGCGGGGCACAGGGTGGGCGGGGCAGAGTGGGCGGGGCAGTGTGGGTGAGCGTCAGCGGGCAGGGAGGAAGAGTCTGGGCGGGCTGGGTGGGAATGAAGCGGCTGCTCCTGAGCCCCTGGTTTCTGGCCTCCTCTCTCCTTGCGCACAACAAACTCGGCTGCTCTCTCCAGGTAACTCCTTTCGCAGGCTGCCACAGACATGGGCTCGATGTCTGAACCCCACAGGGTTACCCGAGACTCCATCAGGCCAAAGGTGACCCCTTAGCACTACTAGGAGTGGCTCAAAACCCCAATACAAACAGAACGACAGGTGGAAATAAGGATCTGTGTGTGTAAGTGTGTGTGTGTGTGTGTGTGTGTATGTGTGTTTGGAGAGTGATCTCAACAGGACTTTTTTTCTTTCTTTTTTAAATTTTTGGTTCCTGGCTGAGTGATAGCACTGCGGGTAGGGCATTTGCCTTGCACATGGCCAACCCAGGTTCGATTCCCAGCATCCCATATGATCCCCTGAGCACCACCAGGGGTGATTCCTGGTGCAGAGCCAGGAGTAACTCCTGTGCATCGCTGGGTGTGACCCCAAAAAAGGACCAAATAAATAAATATTTGCTTCTTGGGCCACACCAAAATGCCCAGGGTCTACTCCTGGCCCTGTGCTCAGGAGTCACTCCTAGTGGTGCGGGAGACCCAATGCGATCCCCCAGGTGCAGAAAGGGCCCTGTCTCCTGTACTCTCTCCACCCTCCTCCCACCATTTTCACTTTTGAACTTTCAGAAGAAAAACTTTTCCCTTAATACACAAAGGCAAGGTCCAAGATAAATAAGAATGGAAGTAGGAGGGTCTATGTATAATACAATATTTATAATAGGAGGGAAGTCTGCTTTTTATATTGAATTCATTTGCAAAATAAACCACATTTCCAGTTCCAAACACACACACACACACACACACACACACACACACACACACCCTCTCACATGCACACGCCTGCAGTGACAGCACAGTGAGGAGGGCACAGGTGCTGCCCAAGGACACCCAGGTTCGATCCTGGGCATCCCACAGAGCACAGAGCCAGGAGTCAGCCAGATGTGGCCCAGATAAAGAAAGAGATGAATAAAGATCTCAAGACACTTGCCAAAGAGGGAATTATTTGCTGAAACAGTTCTCAGGATAACTCAAGGGTTAGTTTCACTTGATCTATCAGCTACCAGTCAAGACAGTGCCATCTCCCGGCAAGGAGAGGAGAGGAAACTGGCGAGTCACAGAGAGTTTGAGGCACTAAAGGACAGAAAGCTCTCAGAATATTCTAGAAGGCTGGCTCCCAATTGCTCCTGAGTCCCTGCTGTGCTGGCCCCTGGGGGGAGCTTGGTGGCCAGGAGGGGCGGGAAGGCGGGGAGTGGCGGGGGGCTCGGGGAAGGATACGATCAGTGCCTTGGAATATCACACAGCCTTTCACCAGCTCTCCCATGATACACCCCACTGACCAGATATCAACTGAAAATAAAAATGAAATGATCAAATTATGACGTGCCATGAATAAAATAAAGGTGAAGAAAAGGAATTCCTACAGGGTTCTACAATGCACAAACGTCGGCTCTGGGAGTGATGCCCAAGGGATGGGGGATGCACTCGCCCAGTCTGGAGCAGGGCGGCAAAGGTGCCTGGTCTCGACAGCTTGGGAACTTCACGGGGTCCCAGGGACCGGAGGAAACGCCTGTGTCCCCAACTCTGCACCCTGCCCACCACCGCCCCCGCCCCTGGTGTGGCCATGGCGGGGCTGGGGGTCTCTCCCTGGGAAGGATACAGTCTCTTCCTGGGAACAGGACTTTATGGAGGACCATTTCTGCCATGATGCAGCCAACTGACCAGATGTCCACTACCAAACACAGGGGGTTACAACCAGGCCTGCTCACCCCCCATCTCCACCCACGCCCCAAGCCCCAGTAAACACCTGCCAGTGACGAGGACCCATCTCTGAGGGGAACTACCCAAGGTAACTGCAGGCGGGCCTACGGGACGGGGTGGGGAGGAGCTGCCGTGCAGTGGACGGTCTGAAGTGACCACTCTCCTGCAGGGCCCTGGAGTCGACCCCCGTCTCCCACATTGTCTCTGGGTTCTTCAGGGAGAAGCCCGCAGAGAGCCAAACATCGTCTGACCCTGCCTTGACCCCGGATTCCAGAGACCTCTAAGCTCAGAGATGGTGGCCGGCCAGGGGGGGCGGACGTGAGACTGGGGGTGTGCACGGCAGGTGGGAGCCCAGATTTCTTGAATTTCTCCAGAGGGAGGAGAACTTCGGCGCCCCCACTCCACCCACAGACCCTGCCCTTCGATCCTTCCTTCTGCGTTTTTGGGCAGTGAGCAGCCTGCGGGGACGGGGCTGGTGTGTGGAGGAGACGGTGATGGTAAGATGGGGGGCTGGGTTAGGTGAGGGGGCTGCTGACGGTCGGTGACGCTGGGTTAGGTGTGGGGTCTGTATTCCCTGGCGGGAACTGCTACTATGGGGTGCTGCTCGCATGAGGGGCTCTGAGTTAAGTGAGGGGGTCAGTCTGGCTGACTCATACTTGTTAGGGCCACAGTCTGGCTGTGTGCAGGAGGTGGACAATGAGCCTCAGGACACCACCAGGCACAGGGGTCATCTCTGGGACCCCGAGAGCCACAAGCACGCCTACAAAACCCCACCCCAATCCAGCCACCGCCAACCCAGAGCTCCGTCCCCAACCTCACCTAGCCCACAGCCCCACACACCTCATCCAGCCCTGCCTATCTACTTAAAGCCCCCCAGGCCCCCACCAGCCCACAGCCACACCCACACAACTCCACCCAGCCCGCCTTACCGACCCTCCCCCACCCTGGAGCCCCCTCTGTTCCCATAGCCCAATTCCTGGGCCGGGGCGGTCCTGGCCGGCTCACCATTCTCCTTGTAGCCCATGCCCAGGATGACCTCGGGGGCACGGTAGTAGCGCGTGACGACGTAGGGCGTCATCATGAAGTTGGTGCAGGCCGTCCGCGCCAGCCCGAAGTCCAGGATCTTGAGCGTGCAGTCAGACTTCACCACGATGTTGCTGGGCTTCAGGTCCTGCGGCGGGGGGAGGGGGCAGGTGACAGTGGCGGGGAACACGGTGATGGGACAATTCTGTGACCTCCACCCTCTCAAATGGAGAGGGAGACAGAGCTCAGCTCGGAGCCTCGCCAGGTCTAACCTCGAGGGCACTGGGTCAGAGAGGGCAGCAAAGAGGGCATTTGCCTGGCACGAGGCTGCCCCTGATCTGACCCCTGGCATCCCATAGGGTCTCCTAAGCCCCGCAATGAGTGACCTCTGAGTGCAGAGTCAGGAATAAGTCTTTTCTTTTTTATTGAAGTAAGACAGATTTTATTTGGAGGTTTTGAAAGGAAGGAGGAAGAGACAGTGGGAGAGAGAGAGAGAATAACGTGCTCAAGAGAGAACGTGGGCTTTGCCAAGGGTGGAGAGAGCCCCCCCCCACCCCAGCATCAGACAGGAAAGCACGAGAGTACACATCTCAAGAGGGGAGATGCGGGCAACACACCTGCTCGGGCGACACATATGCCCGGCCACGTGGGTGCAGCAGCACATGGGCTCGGGCAGCATCTGCGCCAGGAATAAGTCTTGAGCACTTAGTGGATGTGGCCCCACCCCTCCAAAACAAAACCAAGGAAATCCTGCACACTCACTGCCTTGACTTGAACCTTCCAGGAGCTTCGGCCAATGCCACGCTCTCCCTCCTTGCTCTTTAAACTCCCAGCTATTGTTCCTGACTTTCAGACGGAAGGACAGGTGACACCCCCTACCACCCACACACCCAGCGGGGCTCAGGGACCAAACCTCAGTCGGTCACCTGCAAGACGAGTGCCTCACCCACAGCTCTGTCTCCCACCCAGTATCCCTGAGTTTCACCACTGCTGTGACCAGTTCTGGTTGCCAACACGGCACGTGCTTTTTTTTTCCTTTTTTTTTGGCTTTTCGGGTCACACTGTGATGCTCAGGGGTTACTCCTGGCTCTGCACTCAAGACAGTGCTCAGGGGACCATATGGGATGCTGGGAATTGACCTGTGATATTTTAATAGGACTCTAGGTGGCAGCAGAGGTTAAAGCCTCAGGCCAGGCTGTGTGCCCCCCCTCCCATGGAGGTGCAGAGGCGGGGTACACTGAGCTTCCAGGGAGGTGCAGACGGGGTCACTGATGCTTCCAGCGAGGGCTGGGGGTTGAAGCTTGACTCTGGAGGGAACAGTGCTCTGCGAGTCTCAGGGCTGTGAGGGAACCGCTTTCCTAGCACTGGGGGCATCACCACCTCCCCCTCCTGGACCACCTCACATTCCCCTTTAAGCAGCTGCACTTCCTGACTCCCCCCCTGAGCTCAGGGGGAACACGGTTTCTGCCTGCTTAGACACAAGATCTCAAAGGCGCACAGGGAGTAACAGCACAGCGGGGAGGGCCTGTGCCTTGCACAGGCTGACCTGCGTTCAATCCCTGGCATTTCATATCATTCCAGGAATGATTCCCAAGTGCAGAGCCAGGAGTAATTCCTGAGGATCGCTGGGTGTGGTCTGGTCTTGTGACCCCACAAGACCCGCCCACTGATCTTGTGGGGGCAGAAATGATCCGAGGGAGAGTGGAAGGCGTTACTTGTTAAATGTGTACCGCCAGGGAGACAGGACAGCAGGTAGGGAGCCTGCACTGCACAAGCCAGCAAGCCAACCGGGATTCAATGGCACCAGGCCATTGTCCTGGGCTGACTCCTGGCTCTGTACTCAGGGATCACTCCTGATGGGGTCTGGGGGACACTATGGGGGGGTCAGAGGTTGAGCCTGGGTCGTCCACGTGCATGGCAAGCACCTTATCCTCTGTGCTCTCTACCAATACTGGAAAAATTCCAACAACAATTTAGTACCTTTAATTTTGATTTGGTAGGGGCCACTGCCCATGGTGCTTGGGGGGGAACCATGAGAAACTCAGATAGAACCCAGACATTCATTCGAGCCTGTTCCCATCAGGGAGGCAAAGGAAGTTCTAGTGTTGGGGCTGGTTAGCACAATGGGTAGGGCACTTGCCTTGCACTCGGCCAATCCGGGTTTGATTCCTGGCGTCCCAAAGGGTCCCTGGAGATGCCAAGACTCATCCCTGAGTATGGAGTCAGGAGTAGGCCCTGAGCATCGCCAACAGAGGCCCCGTAGTGGCAGGACCAGTGATGGAACATTGGATGTCAACCCCCACTAGGAACAACTTTATCACTCACAGTACTTTCTCAAAATAAACTCTGGGGTGGGGGGCAGGGGAGAAGTAAATCAATATAAAGAACAAAGTCACCAAAAATTAAAAAAAAAAATCAAACCCAACAGTGAGGGCCTGACTCACCCTGTGAATGATGCCGGCCGAGTGCAGGTGCTTGATCCCACAGAGCACCTGGTAGAGCAGGTAGGACATCCTCTCGTGGTCCAGCTCCATGTGGATGACCTGACATAAGTTAGCGTCCATTAGTTCCATCACCAAGTACCTGGAGGGAGAGAGAGTCCTGGTGAAGCATCACAGACGCCATTCTGCACTCCTGTCAACCCACGTGGACGCGCCCAGCTCATGGGCAGGTCCAGCAAAAGGCGGTTGTCTCGAAACATGGATCAAGAGTCTCTTGAAAGAAGGTTTTAAAGAAAAAAAATTTTTAAGTCGGGAGGACTGAGCCTTTGGTTCAGCCACTTCCAAAGAATGTCAAAACAACCAGCTTCATACAAAGTGCTCTGAGGGGACAGTTAGCCCCCGCTCTTTAACCCCACGCCTCCTTGTCACTGCAAAGAGAACTTCATAGTCAATTTTGCAGCTGTCTTAAGCCGTCACTACAGGCTGTTCGCATCAACAGGCGTGTGTCTGCCACTCCGCCATGGCTCCCTCATCCAGGCCAAGTCTGCCCCACTTCCCCTCCGTTCCCTTCCCCGAGTCCCTGCCTTGGACGCAGGCACAAGTCCCCCCTCCCCAGCTCCCCAAAGAGGCGTCTCCAGTGACCAGCTCCGTTCTCCTGTCCCAAGCCTGCTCGGATCAGTGTCAGGGGGGACGCTGGGACACTCCAAAGAAACCAGGTCACTCCTAGCTCTGCTGTTGCCACACGGGCGTTATTGACACGCTGCATGAGGCTCTTGCCCGACCATCTCTGCCGCCCCGCTTACTGCTGGCTTCCCTGGTGCCTGGGCCTTGGATTTTCTCTCTTCCGCACACGAACAACTGTAGTGACACCTCTGGTCTCCGGGAGTGACGGGTCAGTGGGCGCATGTATAGGTGGGGTAAGGGGAGAATAGGTGGGTGAGTGGGTGGATGAATGAATGAATTAATGTATGGGTCGGTGGACCGATGGATGGCAAGATAGATGGGGAGGTGGGTGAGTGGGTGGGTGGCTGCTGCCTGGAGAGGCGGGTGGCTCCATGTGTGGGTGGGCAGAGAGTGAGTGGGCGGACGAAGGGCCAGCACCTGTGTGAGTGGGCAGGTGAGTGGGTGGGTGGAGGGATGGGTAGAGGTGGCTGGCTGGGGAGGGTGAATGGGTGGGTGGGTGGAGGGATGGGGGGTGGGAGGGTGGTAGGCTGGTGAGAGGACGGTGGGTGAGTGTGGACGAACAGATGGACCAGGAGGGAGTGTGAGGGTGGGTGGACGGACTCAGATGCTCATGTGCCAGGGTCATACCTAGTGCTCTAGTCCTGCGTCACACCCCAGCCCTGTTCCCGCCCTGGAATACCACCTACACCTTCTTCCCACACTCCCCTTCACCCCAACCTGCCTCCCCAGTTCCTTCCTGGCAACTGGACAATCTCACTGTGTCCAGATCCAGATCCCAGCCCTGCTCCATCTCACTGTACCCATATATCCCCCTTTCCGGGCTCAAGCCAGAACCGGCGGGGGCTCCGCTATCCCATTCTTACACCACCTTCCCTCAGGGCCGACCCTGTGCTCCTGAGAGAAGGCCCACCCCCTCACCAGGTCACCCTGGTCAGCTGTCCTTAACCCCCCAACCTGGCACCCCAACGGCCACTACCGCATCCTGGATGGTCTGTGCTGCTCCCACCCAGTGCAGTTTCAGTGCCTGACACCAGGTCTGAGAGGGAGTCCCACCCCTCCCAGACCCCCCCCAGCCCCTCCCAGTTTCCACTCTGGCCCGCCCCCAGCCCCGCTCCCAGCCACTCCCTCCCTTTCTCCTTCGCTCCCCACATCCCACCTTTCCACTGCACACCCACCCCATTTGCAGGTGAGTTCTCTCCTCAACACCCCAGAGTGGACCCCTAAAACCCAGAACAGCTAAACCGACCCATGGCCCCTTCCTGCCTTCTCCCCAGAGCCCCTGGAAGTGAACAAATTATTTGGGTAGGGAGAGGAGAGGGTAGTGAGACCACACTCGCCCCAAAAAGGGGAAAGAAGGAGGAGGAAGAAGGAGGAGGAAAAAGGAGGAGGAAGGAGTGAGGAGGAGGAGGAGAAGGAGGAGGACGAGGAGGACGAGGAGGAGGAGGAGAAGGAGAAGGAGGAGAAGGAGGAGGAGAAAAAGGAGGAGAAGGAGGAGGATGAGAAGAAAGGAGAAAGAGAAGGAGGAGGAGGAGGAGGAGGAGGAGGAGGAAGGAAGGAAGAAGTAGAAGAGGAAAAGAAGGAAGAGGAAGCAAAGGAGGAAGAAGGAGAGGAGAGAGAGGAGGGGGGGAGGGGAGAAACAGATGTAGAAGAAGGAAGAAAGAAGAAGAACCCAACAACCATCCCACAAAAGTTGTCCTTTTCATTTCTTTCTTTTCTCTCTTTTCCCAGGTCTCCAGGAAGGCCCTGACAATTAGCAAGTAGGAAAAGGGCATTCCTACCTGCTCTGCCGGCCAGGTCAAAGCAGGTTCTAGCAATGCAGTGAATGAATGAATGAATGAGAGGAGACCCCATGGGCACAGCATCTTCCCTTGCATGGGCCAGAGAAGCCAGTACACTACAGAGAACAACGTGTGGTCAGTGCCGCCTTTCTCTGTCCTGGGAGTGGCAACTGTCAGCAACAAACATCGAGGAGTGTCACAGGATGCCACTTCCTGACAACAAGCTCGGGACGTGGCCAACGCCTGGTCTAGACAGGCCAGTGTCCGAGGCACGAGCACACCACTGAAGTAAGCAGATACTTACACATCTTGGAATTCTTCTAGGGTTTTCTGTGGTGTAAACACATTTAACAAACTAATTATCTGAAAAGAGAAGAATTAATTAGATCTCAGCATGGCCGGCGACTCTTCTTAAAGATTATAAATTAACTTTGACATACAGATGCAGCAAGAAACTTGCAGGGGCCAGGGAAGCAAATCCCAGCAGTGCTCGGTACTAGTTCTGGTTGCTGTTGCCGCTTCTACAAAGGACCACCTCACAGGCTAAGCGAGTAGGGTTCTCAGCCTGGATTTAACAATCAAATCAATTCTATGGGATCTGTACAAACTATTTGCTGTTTGTTTTTTTGTCGTTTTTATTTTTTGAACCACACCCAGCGGGACCCAGGGTTTGTTTGTTTGTTTGTTTATTCTTTTATTTATTTTATTATTTTTTTATATTTTATTATTTATTATTATCTATTATTTTATTTATTCATTATTTTATTATTTATTTTGGGTCACACCCAGGCGATGCACAGGAGTTACTCCTGGCTCTACACTCAGGAGTTACTCCTGGTGGTGCTCAGGGAACCATACGGGATGCTGGGAATTGAACCCGGGTCAGCCATGTGCCAGGCAAACACCCTACCTGCTGTGCCATTGCTCCAGCCACATGGACCCACGGTTTAATTCCAGCTCTGGACTCAGGAATTCCTCCTGGTGGCGTTCAGGGGACCATACAGGATACTGGGGATCAAACTGCAAGTCCCCTCCCCACTGCACTATAGCTCCAACCCACCCTGCCTCAAGCTTACATAGAATATTTCTATAATGGGAAAAGAGGGGATCATATAAGACTCATCCCCTCTCCAACAAGGTAGCCTGGGGTGTTCCAGAATCATCTAGAAAAGTCCCTTCCAGGTGAATCCCCTGACACTCCCAGAAGGGGATAGTCATTAAAAGTGGCTCTGACTCAGAAGCCCCCCCAGGGATCCTGAGTCCTGAAGCTCTTGAGTCTGTCCATTGTGGGCGTGCTGTAAATCGCGTGGCTTTGCCCCGTCTGGCGCTCGCTGATGCCACGCGCTGTGGGGGGGCAGGTGTTCAGACCACGCGCAAGGTGAAATACAAATGCAAGAAGCGACACTTTGTGCAGAGGGCACGCAGCCACCTCCCAATGGTGGCAGCCGCTTCTTCTAGAAAAAAACTGTGGGCAGCTGGGGTACAGTGGGAAGGTGCTGACCTTGCACGTGGCCCACTCAGGTTCCATCGTGGCACCCCAGATGGTTCCCCAAGCCACCAGGAGGGGCCCCTGAGCACAGAGGCCAGGAGTGAGCCCTTAACACCGCCAGGCATAGCTCAAAAAATAACGAAAAGTCAAGAAAAGGAATTGTGAACATTGAACAACTGGAGACTAGAGGGGTAGACATTCATAGCAGCCTTGTGGCCCGACTGACCAAGAAACTGACCCATTAGAAACACGAATGGCTGGGGCTGGAGCGATAGCACAGCGGGTAAGACGCTTGCCTTACATATGGCTGGTCCAGGCTCAATCCCCGGGTCCCCTGAGCACAGCCGGGAGTGATTCCTACTCAGGAATCAGAGCCAGGAGGAATCTATAAGCACTACTGGGTGTGATCAAAAAACAAACAAAAAAGCGGATGTTTTGGCCTGAGACGACACAGCCTGGTATAGCCAATCACTGTCACTGTCACTGTCATCCTGTTGTTCATCAATTTCCTTGAGCGGGTGCCAGTAATGTCTCCATTGATACCAGCTCTGAGATTTTAGCAGCCTCTCCTTACTCATCTTTCCCAATGACTGAAGACTCTTGCAGGGTCAGGGGAATGAGACCTGTTATTGTTACTGTTTTTGGCATATCAAATACGCCATAGGGAGCTTGCCAGGCTCTGCCGTGCAGGCGGGATACTCTTGGTAGCTTGCCGGGCTCTTTGAGAGGCAAATATATATATATATATATATATGTATATATATATATATATATTTATTTCCTTCTATGATTTGTTGCCTACTATCTGAACCCCATCAAATATGGTGTGGCAATTATGGAAAATGGGCAGGGAGTGTCTTATGACAACAACAAAACTGAACAGCTCAGACGGGAGGTCTGTGGGGTCAGACGGGGCCCACGCCACAAGCAGCAAAGCATGGAGTCTCCTGGCATCTGTGTCCCTGGGTGACGACCCTGGGCAGGATCAAGGCCAGCAGACAGTCACGGGGCCTCAGGAAAGGCTGCAGGAGCTGCGCACACCCCACGGCTGGCACTTACGTTTTTGTGATTGACGCATTTTAAGAGAACCAGTTCCCGGTAGGCCCGCTTGGCATGGGTCTGGTTCTGAAAAGGCCGACTGAGCTTCTTCACGGCGACATTGATCCCCAGGACCGTGTCAAAGGCAGCGCTGTCGGGAGTGAGGAGGAAGAGAGGACCATAAGGAACAGCTTCAGACAGGAGGGAAGGGGAGGGTTTGCCCTGCACCCAGCCAGACTCAATCCAAATTCAATCCTGGCATCCCAGAGAGTCCCCCAAGCACCACCAGGCGTGATCCCTGAGGGCAGAACCAGGAGGGAGCCCTGCACACCGCAGGGTGTGGCCCACGAGGAAGAAACAAAAGCAAAGTGGAAGGTTTCAGAAAGAGATGCAGGGTGTTCTGCTTTGGGAGAGTAAACAGAGAAGGAAGCATGGCTCTGCCTGTCTCCCCACGGGCCTTTCTCTTCCCCTTGCTTAGTATTCTCCCTCTTTGAGGGGTCATATGTGGCTGTGCTCAGGGCTGACTCCTGCCTCTGTGCTCAGGGCTCACTCTTGGCTCTGGCTCAGGGATCACTCCTGGCTCTGGGCTCAGGGATTACTCCTGGTTCTGTGCTCAGGGTCACTCATGGCTCTGTGCTCAGGGATCACTCCTGGCTCTGTGCTTGGGGCTCACTCCTGGCTCTGTGCTCGGGGATCACTCCTGGCTCTGTGCTCAGGACTGATCTCCGGAGGGGCTTGGAGGACCCTGTGGGTTTCGGGTTGGCCACATGCCAGGCCTGCATCTCTAACCCTTCGCTGAAGGTGCTAATGCGTGCAAAGCCCCAGCGAGATGTGTTAGGGTCTGGCTCAATCTCTGGCCATGCAACACCCAGACTGGGACAGCACCTAGCCTGGGAGCCCCTCAGCTCGCTGTTATGTGAGCTGAGACGACCCTGTTCAGGCTTTGTAGAGCAAAGAAAACCAGCCAAGAAATAAAACTGGGTTGCCGGAGCAACAGCCCAGAGGGGAACTTGCTTGCCAAGCCAGGTCCAGTCCCCAGCACCACATGGGGTCCCCAAACCCCACCAAGCATAAATCCTTAGTGCAGAGCCAGTATTAAACTGAGCATCACCAAGTGTGGCCCAAAAAACCCCCCCAAAAAAAGGAACTGAAACTGGGACATTGGGGGGTGGAGGGGTGGATGGGGAGGGGTGGGGAGGAGCCACAGAGAGACAGAACAGCCGGGAAGGCACTTGTCTTGCACCAGCCAACCCAGGTTCAATCCCTGGCACTCCACAGGGTCCTGATTCCTGCCTGGACTGAGCCTTGAGCACAGAACCAGGAGTTAGTCCTGAGCAAGAGCCAGGTGTGAACTCTGAGCCCTGAGTGGGAGTCAGCCCGAAGCAAAAGCCCCGGAGTGAGCCCTGAGCATGAAGCCAGGGAACAGCCCTGAGCACAGAGCTGGGAATCAGCCCTGAGCACAGAGCCAGGAACCAGCCCTGTGAGCCCCACACCACGAGGTGTGGTCCCCCCAAACAAGCCATCCCACAGACCGCCCCACCGGCAGGGCTCCTGCTGCCTGGTCTCATCCTGCCCTGGTGGACGCACAAAAGCGACAAAAGGGAGAAACCAAAGAAAATGGCCAACAGCTTGGCCGAGAGGCTGAGCCGGGCCAAGTGGGCCCCTTGGCATGGTGGGTGGGCAGCTCTTACCAAACGATGCCCTGCGCCCCCGAGCCGATGGGCTTCAGCTGCTGGTAGCGCCTGAGCACGGTGAAGGTGGAGTCGGCCACCTGCACGCTGTAGAACTGGCCGTCGCCCTGGCCGTCGGTCATGGTGCTGTGGAGAAAGCGGGGTGAGGTGCGTGGGCTCTCGGGGTGGTTCCCACGGGACCACCCCGGGAATGTCCTGGGATGACCCCGGGGCCGTGCTGACTCCTGGTGGGCCTGGGGGACCCTGTGGGGTGTCAGGAATTACACCCACCCTAGCTGCACCCTCCCCTGTGCCCCACTGTTTTAAACCTGAGAGTCCTTAACTTTTTTCTATTTGGGTTTTTTGGGTCACACCAGGCAATGCTCAGGGGTTACTCCTGGCTCTGCACTCAGGAATTACTCCTGGCGGTGCTCGGGGGACCCTATGGGATGCCGGGTTTGAACCCGGGTCGGCCGCGTGCAGGGCAAACGCCCTCCCCATTGTGCTATCGATCCAGCCCCCTTTTTTTTTCAACAGGGCCACCCCCCCAATGGTGGAAGCAGGAAAGAGGGGTTTGTAGTACTGGGCATGGAATCGGGACCTACTCCTTGAGTCACATCAGTGGGCCCAACGGAGACTCCCCTTCTAGAACTCTTAGGAATGTTGGGGCCAGAGCCACAGCTCAGCGGCAAGGGTGCTTGCCTGCACACAGTCACCCCGGGATCATCCCTGGCACCGTAAGGTCCCCCAAGCACTGCCAGACGTAACCCTTATGCACCATCAAGGTGGCCCAAACACCCGGCTCAAAAAAGAAATTTTATGAATCAAAAGAATTGGGGGGAGGAGCAGAGCAATAGGTAAGGTGCTTGCCTGGCACATAGCAGTCCTGAGTTCAATCCCCGGCACCCCATGGGGCCCCCTGAGCACCAATAGGAGTGATTCCTAAGTGCAGAACCAGGAGTAACCCCTAGGCATCACCAGGTGTGGCCCAAAAAGCAAACCAAAATAAATAAATATTAAATTAAATTAATTAAACTAAATGGAAAGTTTTAGGGGGCAAGAGAGATGCTCAGGGGTTAAGGTCCCTGCCTTGTTGGGGCTGGAGCAATAGCACGGGGGGGAGGGCGTTTGCCTTGTGTGCAACCAAGCCGGTTCAATTCCCAGCATCCCACATGGTCCCCTGAGCACTGTCAGGAGTGTTTCTTGAGTGCAGAGCCAGGAGTGACCCCTGAGCATTGCTGGGTGTGACCCAAAAAGCAAGAAAAAAAAGAAACAACAACAAAGGCACCTGCCTTGCACGCGGCCGACCCGGATTCCATCCCTGGCACCAGAGTGGTCCCCAAGCACCATATGTGGTCGCAATAAAAGCGGGCACAGATGCTTATGAAAGGACAAGCAGAAATCCAGCTCTTTGTAAGAAAAGGACCTTAAGGCCACCGTCCCTCTCCTGTGTGAGGCCCCTGCCAGGCTCTGAAGACTTTCTAGGGTCTTCTTGGGATTTTATAGACGTACTTTCTCCTGCATTGGGAACCTCTGAAAGCACTTATAGAAAAATACCCTGGGGAGTGTCAGCACAGCAGGCAGGGCGCTTGCCTTGCACCTTCCAAACCGGGTTCAACCCCCGACACCCCACGGGGTCTCCCAAGTCCCACCAGAGGAGACTTGGGAGTCAGGAGCCAGGAGCAAGTCCTGGACACAACCAGAAGTGGCCCAAATTGCAACCCCCCCCCAAAAAAAAAGGAAATGCCTCTCTCTGAACCAGAGGGGAACTTACGTGCATACTCAGACCAAAATGAGCTGCACTACCGCCAAACCTATGAAAAATTTCAAGAATCTTCTAGAACCTCCAAGAGCCCCAACCATTTACGAGACCCTTCAATGTGATGGTCAAAAAAAAAAAAAAGAGCAGTTTCTCAGGGCTGGAAAGACAGTACAGTGGGGAGGGAATCTGCTCTACGTGCAGCCGACCCGAGTTCATTCCCAGCACCCCAGAGGGCCTCCAAGCAGCAACAGGAGTGAGTCCTGAGTGCAGAGCCAGGAGTAACCCCTGAGCATCGCTGGGTGTGACCCCAGAGAAACAAAAAAAGTAGAAAGAGCAGTTTCTGTGGCTGGAGTGATGGTACTGAGGGCAGAGCATTGACCTGGCACTGCATATGGTCCCAAAGCCCTTTGGTATGACCCTTGAGCACAGAGCAAGGAGCCACCCCTGAGCAGAGTGTGGCCCGACCCCCTGCCCCCATAAGCTACATCCCCTGGAGTCCTACAAGGGGCAGGTTCTGAGGACACAGCCAGGTCCAGCAAAGGCCCCTTCCGGTCCTCGAAGGCTCTGCGCTGCCTCCCCTGCATCCAGAGGCTAACCAGCCCACTCACATCTCCGTCTGACCTAGCTGCACGCTGACACCATGCAAGAGACAAATTCTTGGTTTGTCTTTGGGGCCACATACGGCAGTGCTCAGGGGTTACTCCTGGCGGTGCTCAGGGGACCGTCTGGGGTGCGGGGGTCACACCCGGCTGGCTGCGTACAAGGCAGGTGCCATCCTGGCTGTGCTATTGCTGGGTCAGAGACTTTTTTCTTCTGTTCTGAATAAGCTTGCTGGAGTCTGATGATCAGGAATGTCCTGGCTAATCTTAGAGGCGCTGGTGCTGGCTGGATCTTGGGGTCACGCCCCACACCTCAGTCCTTGACTCCAGGGGTCCCTGCTCCTGGGAATCTGAATCCTAAACCCAATCCCCAGCGGGTGAAAGTCTTTTCTGCATGAGGCCTTTTTTTTGCGCCCATGTTTTGGGGGAGCCACACCTGGTGGTGCTGAGAGCTCCCTCTGGGTGATGCTCAGGAGTCTCTGGGCCCGAGGATTTTGGGGATTGGGCCCCCCAAAACCTGCTGCTCCACCCCTCTGCCCTGATCCTTCCAGTCACTGCTTCTGCTGAGCACCCGGGTCTGGGCCGGCTGCAGCCCCACCTGCTCTCATCTGGGCACCTTCCAAGCCCACCTTCCCTCGGGGTGCAGGGTTCTCTGGGGCGAGGGACCCCCTGGCCCCCACCTCTGACCTCCCTGGGCCCTGCAGGGAGCCTGACCCAAATACTAAGGGGGTGCCAGGGCAGAGCCCGTGGGGGGGGGCGCTGGGCTAAAGCACCTCAAGGGTGGGGAGATGGCCAGGGCCTGCTAAGGGGCCATGGGTGGGGACCAGGACCCCGGGTGACAATCCGCTTCCATCTGTTCCTGGGTTAGCCAGCGGCCCAGGAGGAGGCGAAAAGCAGGGCTGGGGGTGGGAACAGCGACCTGTTTGCAGACGCGGTGACACTGGGCGGGGGGAGGGGTGCTGGGGGGGGCAACCAGGGGCCCGGCAGGGCGGGCGCCCTCACACAACCGAGGAGACGGGCACCATGCGAGGAGGGGAGGGCTGGGGGTTCGCGGGCGGGGGGGGGCGCCGGGAGCGGGTCGTCGGGGGTGGGGTCGGATGGGAGGGGAGCGGCCCGGGGAGGGGAGGGGAGGGGAGGGGAGAGGAGGGGAGGGGTCGGCGCAGCCCTGGAGGCCGGGCCGGCAGTGCAGGGGGCGGTGGTCGCTGCAGGTGCAGCCGAGGGGGGCGCAAACGGGACGCGGGGAGCTGGGGGGGCGCAGACGGGGCGCGGGGGGACCTCCGGGGGGGGGTCTCAGACCGGTTGCGGGGGGCTCCGGGGGTGAGCAAACGGGGCGCAGGGAGCTCCGGGAGGGGCGCAGACGGGGCGCGGGGGGCTCCGGGCATCCCCCCGACTGCGCGTGGGCTGCGCGCCCCCCGGAGCCCATCGGAGCCCCCCGGGCCGCAGGCAGGTGCGGGGAGGGCGGGGGCTGCAGGGGCGGGAGCGGCCAGCGCCCCCCCGCTGCAGACACCCCCTGGTCAGCGCCTCCCGCTGCAGACACCCCCTGGTCAGCGCCCCCCGCTGCGGACACCCCCTGGTCAGCGCTCCCCGCTGCGGACACCCCCTGGTCAGCGCCCCCCGCTGCGGACAACCCTGCCCGCGCCGTCCGCGGCCTCCCGCGGCCGTACGGACCCCACGGGCCTGGCCGCCGTCCGGGCTCACCTGGTCTCGCCGCCGGGCAGGGCGGCCGCGAACTCGAGCCCGGCGGGTCCGGCCGCCCCGCGCCGCCGCCGCAGTGGGTGAGGGGCCGCCCGCGACCCTTCCGGCCCGGCCCGCCGCAGCCGCCGCCGCCGCCGCCGCGCCCCGCCTGACCGACCCGCGCGCCGGCCAATCAGGGCGCGGGAAACCCCGCGGGCTCGGCCAATCGCTGCGGGGCCGAGCCGCGGGCGGGCCGCGGGGCGGGCCGAGGGGCGGAGAAGTGGGCGGGGACCTGGGGGCCACGGCGCGGCCGGGGCGGGGCTGATCGAGGGGCGGGGCTAGGCCTGGGCGGTACCGCGGGCTCGGGCGCGGGGAGCGGGGTGAGCACTGGGCCCGCCCGGGCTGGGCGAGCGGGCTGAGCACAGGGCCCCTCCCCACCCCCCGGGCTGGGCGAGCTGGTTGAGCACAGGGCCCCCTCCAACCCGGACCTAGCGGGGCTCGGCCGGTCCCGACCTGGGTTCCGTTCCTGCAGGGCGGGCGGTGGTTCCGACCCGCAGGCGCTTACCGAGCTGACAGGCCGCGGGCTGGGGCCGCCAAGGAGGCGTGGGCCGGGCCGGCGCTCAGACTCTGGGGACTGGGGGTGGGGGGTGAGGACGAGGACAGAGGTGGCCCTGGGCTCTGCCTCCTGCCCCGTGAGGGGCACAGGGGCGCGGCAGGGGTCAGGGGCGGGGAGGGGCGCCAGTCTGCAGAGGGGTCTGCAGCGGGGCCTGCATGGAGACAGGAGGGCACCGGAGCGAGGCTCGAACCCCGGCCCTGAGCGAACTCTGCAGTTCTGCCTGGGGTTGCGTGAAGGACCGAGGCCTGTGCATGTGTGTGTGCATGTGCGTGTGTATGCATGTGCATGTGCTTGTGCATGTGTGTGTGGTTTCCCCAGGATCTCCTGGGAAGGCTCCAAATTCTGGGACTAGAGTAAGCTCCTAAGATGGGAGTCATGAAGAGAAGCAAGTGACACGGAGAGTGGTGATGGGACCTGGGGGTGACTCAGAGAAGACTGGGGCCACGCCTCAAAAATTAATGGGTAGGGGCTGGAATGATAGTACAGCAGGGAGGGCATTTGCCTTGCATGCCGGCGACCTGAGTTCAATCCCCAGAATCCCATAAGGTCTCCCGAACACCGCCAGGAGTAATTCCTGAGTGCAGAGCCAGGAGTAACCCCTGTGCATCGCTGGGTGTGACCCAAAAAGGAAAAAAAAATTGATGGGTAAGGTAAAGATCCTGCAATCGTCCCTGCCCCCACAGAATATCTTGGCCACCAGAGGTTGTATTTTGTATGGGGGACAGATTTGGATCACACCTGGCAGTACTCAAGACTTACTCCTGGATTTGTGCTCAGGGATCATCTTTGTGGGGTTTGGGGCACCATATGAGATGCCCAGGACTAAACCTGGAGTCAGCCACGTGTGCAGCAACACCTGACCTGTCGTGTTAGGGCACGACCCTGTGCTTCACCCCAGGTTTGAGGGCAACCTCTCTAGATTCAGACACTGCGTTAAGGCTAGGGGTGTTGGTTTAGAAATTATGGGAACATTATCCTCAGAGCTTGAGAGGATGCACAACTTTTGGGTGGAAGCCAACAAATGATAAGAAAGATCTTGGGGGGGCAGAGAGAGAGAGTCCAGGGCTTAAGGCTCGAGGGGTCACCCCACACCCATGAAAATTCTGGCCAGACAAGGACAGGACTGACAGCCGAGCAGACCTATTAGATGGGGAAGCCTTGGAGCAGGCAATGCACCTGCCGAGTCTGGAAAGTGGGGTCACACCAGGAAAGGTCACTGCACCCACAAGCACCCCAGTGCTCTTGCTCAGCAAGTCACAAGTCACCGTTTCTCGTGGGATGGTGTGGGGGGCGCTGGAGACTTAGAACTGAAAGGACAGGCCCAGCTCTCTGCAACATGCCCTCCAGGTTCATTCCAAATGCGTTTTCCCTTGGTGAGCTAGAACTTGGTTTTGGTCCTTTTTTTTTTCTTTCAGTTTTTATATAATTTTATAGTTGCCAATAATAAAAACAGAATGTTCAGCTGTATCACCACATTTAAAATTTTAGAATTCCTGCAGTGACATCTCATACTCTACACCACTGATGTACCCAAACCAGGACTTAATGGCTCCAGGGTTAAATATCACTATCTTCACACACTTTCTCTAAGGAAACTTTTTTAGATCATTTCTAGGGGATTATTCATAACAAGCAATACAGAATGAATTATTTATGTCTTGCTTTGGGGGCAGGCTTTGAGGGTTGGGGTGGAAACATTCGAAATATGGTAGTGGGAAAGTGTAATAGTGGTGGGATTCATGTTGGAATATTAAATGTAATAAATTATTGTGAACTTTATAAAAAATAAAATTAAAAAATAAAAACGGGAGGGGAGAATGCTTGGAGATAGTACAGAAAATTCTGGCATTTATAGGGTGTGCTGAAGCATGACCAGGAGTGATCCCTGAGCACAGAGCTAGGAGGAATTCCTGAGCACCGCTGAGGTGTTGTCCAAACCAGCATCCCACCAAAACAATACCCTTGGGCTTTCAGGCTGGGAAATGGCTCAGTGGGTTGGAATACAGGCATGAGTGTGATCACCCTAAATACACAACACCAACACACCAGCTCCACTGTGGGGCAGCACTGCACCTCCCCAAACAGAGCAGCCTCTCCACTGCAGGCGGAGACTCCCAGAGGGCCTCTGACCTGTGCACCATTAGCCAGGCTCTGCACCAAATGACAATTACAAAGTGGGATTTTTTTTTTTCCACTTGAAACATTGCAACCGTTGGTTTGTTCTAAAACCAGGCTTAGAGAGTGAGTAAAGCATTTGCCTGCAACAGACACCACCCGAGTCTGAGTTTCTGCTAGTTACTCCCTAGCGCCTTCAGGGGTGGTCCAGGGGTGCTCCTGAGCACGAGTCAGGAGTAGCTCCCCATCACACCGGGGGCATTCCTGACAGCTAGGAATAGCTCCCAATCACCACTAGGGGGCGCTGTTGAACACACACCAGGAATCAGTCCTGAGTATCACTAAGGCACTCCCCTGAGTACCACCAGGGAACATATCTGCGCAGAGAGCCAGAGAGACAGGAGGGACCGATTACCACCAGGGGAGTAACCTGAGCACCCCCCAGGAGAAAGGCCCAGAGAAAGCTATGAATACGGGGCAGGGGGAGGGGCCAACTCCAGAGCACGGAGCAAGGAGTAGCCCTTGATACGATAGGGGTCACTGGGCAGAGAGCAGGAATAGCACCCCAGCACGTGGTCCAGAGTGAGACCTATGTATGCGTCTCTATGCAGACCTAAGTATCTGTGAGTATGAGTGAAATGGATTCACTCTGGGCAAAAGTCCAAAGGACACTGAACCTCTGACAAAGCTCAGCATCCTGGGGCCAGAGAGACAGGACAGGAACCAAGGTCTATACAATTTATACACACTCAGTCTGGGTTCAATCCCCTCAGCACCAGCAGGACTGATCCCTGGGCACAGAGCCTGGAATAGCCTCTGGGCAATGCTGAGTGGACTCTGAATCCTCCCCTTTCTCCCAAAAATTGGGTCAGTAGTTTCCACAGTCCAGACTGGGGAGGAGTGATTCAGACATTGGGGTTTGGGGGAAGCAGATGCACTTAGGTTATCAGTGATGATCCTGGCGGGTCTGAGTGATACAGGCGGTGCACTTGCCTTGCACACAGCTGCCCTGGTTTATCCCTGGCATCCCATAGGGTGCATTCAAGCCCTGGCTCACACGCTGCTCTATCTCTCCAGTCCCACCACCCCGGTTTACAGCAAACCAGAGGTCAGAATATCTGGTGGAGAGGCTGGAGCAATAGTACAGTGGGGAGGGCATTTGCCTGGCACGTGGCTAATCACGGTTCGATCCCCAGAATCTCACAGGATCCCCCAAGCACCTCCAGGAGTAATTCCTGAGTGCAGAGCCAGGAGTGAGTCCTGAACATCACAGGATGTGCCCCCCCCATAAGTACCAAAAAAAAAAAGAATATCATATCATTGGTGGAAGGCACCAGTGCCGAGTGACCCCCTCGTACTTCCTCGGTGAGATCTAATGGGGACCCTCAAAGTTAACCCCTCCATACAAACTGGAAATAGACAAAAACTCAAACACACAAGACCCCCAACTAAATAAAAGTATAGAGTCTTTATTATTTTAAAATTGCATAGTAGTAGGTGCTGCTTTTCAGTAGAGGGCCTGGGAACCCCACTGGGAACAATCTCAACTGGGTGCTTCCACAGCTGTTTTCCTCATGGGCAAGAGGTAGGGACCAAATCATCAAAACATATCCGCTGTCTGGGTAACGAGGATGCGGGAAGGAACCGTGATCTGAGGGGTAGTGGGACAGTGGGAAAGAACCACAGTCTGATCTAAAAGAGGAGATGCGAAAAGTGAAGAGATTTCCACCAAGATGAAATCTTTGAAGGCGCTGGAATTTCCCAGAGAACTTTCTGAAGAAGCATCCTTCACCATCATGGTCAGGACCAGCTAGGGGTGAAAGGGAAGGGAGCAGATGGTGGTTGTGGGGGTCTAAGGGGCTGGAATTGTGCTCAGGTCTGAGATGAATCAATGCCCCGTTTGCACGCCCGAACACCAGCTGATCAGAGGGTGCATTATCTGGGCCACAGAGAGCCATATAATAGAAAAATAACTTAAAGGCTATACATTTGTCCTAATAAATATTCTGTCTTTCAAAATGAACCCATGTTGGTTTCCAAAAAGCCTCACAGGGGCCGGAGCGGTAGTACAGCAGGTAAAGTACCAGTCCGGCATGCAGGTGACCTGGGTTCCATCCCCGACACCATATAAGTCAGGAATGATACATGAGTGCAGATCCAGGAGGGAACCCTGGGTGTGGCCCCAAAACCAAAATCCCAAAACAGGACAAACAAAAGACAGAAAGGGTTCACAGTTGCTCCGAGAGGGACTTGTTGGCTTTCTGTATTGCACAGTAGTGGGAAGAGGGAACAAAACAAAACAAAACAAAACAAAACAAAACAAAAAGTCAGCTCTGGTCCCCAGGTGTAAACAGTGACTCCCTTTCTCCTGGCCACGCGGGAGAAACAGTTTCTGCTGTAAGCAAAGCACTTGGGCTGCAAGGCACAAGCGGCTGAGGCGAAGCTTGATCAGGCACCCGGTGGGCGAATGATCCCGCTGCTCCGGGTCCTCACTCCACTGTGACAGACTTGGCCAGATTCCTGGGGAAGTCCACCTGCAGAGAGAGGGGGCATCAGCTCCAGGTGCCTCGGACGGAAGCTCCTGGCAGCAAAAAGAGCACTGGGGGTGGAGCAAAAGGTCGAACTGTCCAGTGGGAACTGTGTCTGCCCCACACGGCTGACCCCGCTCCATCCCTGACATCCCATCTGGTCTCCAAGCACCACCTGCTGTGGCCCCAAACAAATGACAACAGAAAATCAGACAGTCTCGTCATTCTCGGTCCTGGAACTCCACCCTGGTTATTTCACACAATCTACGACTGTGGACACGCACCCCCCTCTCAAGGTCCCCTAGTTTTTGTGTTTTTTTTTCTGTTTCGGGGACCAGAGTGGTCACCAAATCAAAGTGCCACACCTAAGGAATAAGACATTGAATTTGCTCATTAACACAGCCTCTGGGAGATGAGCTCATTTAGGTAAAACAGTCCCTTGTGGGTTGCTAAGGGGTTATTTGTTGCAGACATAGGAAAACTTAAACTTCAGAAAAGTTATCTTAAAGAAAGTGATTTATCCTGGGGCCAGAGTGATAGCTCAGCAGGAGGGTGTTTGCGTTGCATATGAACGACCCAGGTTCGATCCCACCAGCCCGTATGGTCCCACGATCTTGCAAGGAGTGATCTCTGAGTGCAGACCCAGGAGTAAGCCCTGAGCATCGCCTGTGTGGTTCTGCAAAATTATTTATCTTTTAATATTTATACCTAGTAGGGATTTAGGAACAAAGAACTCTATGGGTAACACTTGCCCTCTTTGTTGGGTTTGATGAAATTACACATCTTGTGCGTGGGGCCACAGTAAGTAAGGCACTTTCCTTGCACACAGCCGACGTGGGTTCTAGCCTCAGCACCTCCAGGGCCCCTCGAACCCAGTCAGAAGAGACCCCGATGGCAGAGCCAGGAGTCAACCCTGGGTACCATCAGGGGTAATGGCCCAAAACAATAATTTTTAAGTTTCTGGCTTTGAGGTTTCAGGGGTTGAACTTGTGCATGCTCAGAGCATGCTGTGGTACCGGGACTGGGGCTGGGCTTGGCTCTGTGCAAGGAATGTCCCTGCCAGCCCCAAGGCGCAATCATAAAACAAGGCCTTTAATGTATTATTACTATGGGGTCCGCACTATGCAGGCTTGGGGGTGGCTGTGGGGTGCTGGGGATCAAACCCGGACCTTGTACATGGCTGGTGCTCTAGTCCTTGAGCCCCACTGTGATACGGTTTCCCGGACTTACGTCATAGCCTCGGAGAACGGCCAGGTGGAAAGAGAGGAGCTGCAGGGGAATCACGCTGAGGACACCCTGCAGGCAGTCCACCGTGCGCGGCAATTCGATGGTCCTGTAGGCGAACTTGGAGCTCTCCGTGTCGTCCCGGGAGCACAGGATGATGGGACGCCCCTGCCGGGGAGGGGACACACGTGGAGTGAGTTCGTGGGGAGGACACTGCAATGCCAACGACCACTAAAGCGCGGGGAGCCACCGGGGCCTTGAGGGTCAGTGTCTCGGTTCCAGTAGGTGGTCACACCCACCTCCCCCCCATTACCCTGTGTTCATTGGTGGCCCCTGGGACTTGCAGGGACGTGCTGGCTGCACTGCAGAAAACCACCACTAGGGGGGGCTGTGGCGAGGGCTGGAAAGACCAGAGCCTCGGAGCATGAGAGGGAACAGCCTTCAGGACTGAGGGAACAGGCAGTGCTAAGGATCAGAAGCAGGATGCAGATGGACATGCACGGAAGCACGGCACTGGGGCATCAGGGCCTGGAGAGCGGGCACGAGGGACCAGTCAAACTGCTGCTTTTTTTTGTTTTTCAGACCAGACCAGTGTGTAGGGCATACGCCTGGTTCTGTGCTAAGGGGTCGCTCTGGGCAGGCTCGGGAGATCAGGCGGAGAACTGGAGGTCGAGCCCAGGTCAGGAGCATGCTGGGCACGCGCCCTACCTGCTCTACTATCTCTCCAGTACCCTAAGTTACTTAAGTTTTTGTTCTGTTTCTTTGTTTTTGTTTTGGGTCACACCTGGCAGCTGCTCAGGGCTGACTCCTGCTCGGTGCTCAGGACTGACTCTCAGCTCTGTGCTCAGGGCTGACTCCTGGCTCTGTGCTCAGGGCTGACTCCTGGCTCTGCTCAGGGTCACTCATGGCTGTACTCAGGGGTCACTCCTGGCTCTGCTCAGGGTCACTCCTGGCTCTGTGCTCAGGGTCACTCCTGGCTCTGCTCAGGGTCACTCCTGGCTCTATGCTCAGGGTCACTCCTGGTTCTGTGCTCAGGGGTTATTCCTGGCAGGCTCAGCGGACACTGTGGGGTGCTGGGGATCAAACCCGGGTTGGCCATGTGCAAGGCAAACACTATCCACAGTACGATCACTCTGCCCTACCCCGAAGCTTTTGGGAAAAGAAATAAAGCAAGGATTTGGCTTAGGGACCACGCCAGATTGTCCTCAGTTACTCCTGGCCTGAGTTTCACTCCTGGTGGAGCTGACGGTTCACGGGCCAAGACTGTGTGGTCCAGCCCTCTGACCGATGCATCCTCCAGCCTGAAGTTCTGTCTGCTAGCCTTAGCGTCCTGAGGAGCCAGGCTGGGTCCAAGCAGGCTCAGATGAATCCCCCTCTTCACCCCACGGAGCAGGATGGCTGCTTGGCAGCACTGGAGTTAGGGTCACAGCCTCACGCATGCAGGGGACCTTCCTCCACACCCTGCAGATCATCAGGATCACCTCTGGGCTTGCAGAAGCGCCGAGGGGGGCACTCATGGTTCTGTGTAGGTTGGACTACGGACTCTAAATCACGGAACCACCACCTAGCCCCTCCGGCTGGATCCTGAACTGCACGATGGGACCTGTTGCCTTGGCGCATGTGGTCTCACCAGGACTTGGACTCAGGATCTCACGTTGGCCGGTGCTTTAGCCATTGAGTCATCTCAGGGAATGGGGCTACAATGCAGCTTATGACTCAATTTCCCTTCCCTGCCACTTCCTGCCTTGTCTCCGGATGGGACCGGAGAAGTCTTATCTCTGGCCTGCATATCATACGGATCTTTCTGTTTGTTTGGTTCTGGTTTTCAGCAGTGCTCAGGGCTGACTCCTGGCAGTGCTCAGGGATCACTCCCAGTGGGCTGGGAAGACCATATGGGGTGCCCACCGTCCTATATCTCTCTGCACCACCCCCCTGGCCCTATCTCTCCCCACACTGTCCTATCTCTTCCATCCCGTTTTCAGCATTTATGCTCATGGCTAAGAAATTGGACCTGAAAGTTTTCCCAGGTTTTAGAAACTCCAGTAAGTGACAAGCCTGAGTTGTAAAGATCCCCGAGAGGACCCAGTTGGGGCAACTGTGGCTGATCCCCTAAGATTTTCCTTGGCACCTTGGGGGGAACCACCAACCCAAGCAGGGGCAGCCCACCACAGAGCCAGCCCCCAGCCAAAAAAAAAGGCACGGGGACCCGGAGCTCTCCAGGTGAGTCTACAAAACTCGACCTAAGGCAGCGTGATTAGTGTCAGAACTGGAGGGAGAGAGTGACCCAGTTCTCCAGCCTGGATCAAGAGCACTTTCCCAAGGCGAAACAGAAGCACAGTGGGCAGGGCACTGGCCAGGTTCAGTCCCTGGCACCACAGACAGTCCCCTGTGCCCAGTCAGGAGTGAGCCCTGGGTGCAAAAGCAGAAAAAAGCCCTGAGCACCCTGAGCCCTGAGGTGTGACCCCAAGCAAAACCAACAGCTTCCAGCCAGGGGGCAGTGGGCCAGAGCAAGAGTCCCGGTGGGTCTGTCACGCGCATGGTGCACGCTCTAGGCTGTCGCAGGTGATCCTGTTCCTCAGCGGCAGGACCTTCACCGACCAGCCCAGCACGGGGCGGCCAAGTGGGACCTGCCCTGCCCTCACCTGGCGCGCCGTGATCTGCTGCAGGGCGTTCTGGCACTTGGCGAAGCAGGGGTCCTTCATGATGACCATGATCACAGGCATCTGCTTGTCGATGAGGGCCAGCGGCCCGTGCTTCAGCTCGCCGGCCAGGATCCCCTCCGAGTGCATGTAGGTGATCTCTTTGATTTTCTGGGGAGACGGCAACACGGGGTTGGGGGGAAGCTGAGCAGGGTAGGGAGTGGCCACTAGATCAACCCCACCCCTCGCCCCTCACTGGACAGAACGGGAGCTCCAATCAGTGATACTTGTCAGCTTCACTCTCCCACTCCATGCATGTACATATGTACGTGTGTGTTTGTGTGTGTGTGTGTGTGCGTGTGTGTGTGTGTGTGAGAGAGAGAGAGAGAAAGAGAGAGAGAAGAGAGAGAGAGAGAGAGAGAGAGAGAGAGAGAGAGAGAGAGAGAGAGACCCTCAATAGTGTCCCTAGCCCAGCCACACCCTGCACTGGCCTGTCACTTGCCCTCTGATTTTGGAGGGTCCCGATTCCACTCAGCCGCTGTTCACAAAACACATCTGCTGGCACCCCTCCCCTTCCTGGAATCTCTGTATTCAGCGTCTTGAGCAAACGTTTCCCAATCAGCCTGGTGGCCCAGGCAGCAGGGGGCCCGCCCTGAGGAACTACACTGGGGTCACTGACTGTGGCCAGTCGAGAAATCAAAGCTTCTTTCTTCCTGGCTTCCAGAGTCCCAAGACGAGACGAGCCCATCTCTCAGGGGCTGCACGGACGTGTCGGGGAAGCTGAAGAACATCCCTCCTCATGAGTCCACACCCCACATCTGGCCAGTGGCAAAGCTGAAAGGGAGCTGAGCCTGTACCCCCCGGGCCTTGCTAGTCTCTCACTTGGGGACCACACCTGACAGTACTCGGGGGCTATTCCTGGTTCTGTGCTCAGAGGACCCCACGTGGTGTCAGGGATGAAACGAAACGCCTTTGCTCCCCACCCGTCCTATTTCCCCAGCCCTCAGAGAATATATGATCTCTATGGAAGGGATGGAAACTAGAGTTTGACTCCTTGGCCCAAATCTCAGGTAAGAGGTCTCCAAAGTTCCCACGTTTCAGATGGGGTGACAGGGAAGGGGGGGCGACTGATGCCGCAGGGAAGATGGAGACTCAGAGGGGCCAGGGATGGTGGCTGAGACACTCCCTCGTTTACCTGGGCTTGGCTCTCTGGTCGATGATGGTAAAGAAATCCCAGACTGTCCTGCCTCCCTCACCAATGGCCCCACAGCCCAGGCGCAAGGCTCCATAATTTCCTCTTAATTAGCTGAAGGCAACCCTGGCTTAAAACAAGCAGATCCAGGGGACCGGACTGATACTACAGAGGTCGGGAGTCTGCCTCCCATGCAGCCAACCTGGGCTCGATTCTGATACTCCGTAGGGTCCCCTGAACCCTTCCAGGGGAAATTCCTGAGCACAGAGCCAGGAGAAAGCCCTGAGTACCACTGCGTGCGGCCCCCTAACCCAAAAATAAATCAATAAGTTTTAAAAACCAAGTAGATCCCTAAACTTGAAGTTTGGGGTAAGCGCAGGAACACCTCTCCACCCAACCTGGTGGCCAAACTCTAATAGGCCAGCTCCTTGCAGTCCCAGGAAAGAACCCGGGACCTGAGTTTGAATCTCCCACCCCGCTCTCCCTCTAAGCCAGAGGGCCCCAAGATGATCTGGCCCTATGGCTGCTTTCAGGGAAAAAAGAATTGTTCCACACCTCATGAAACTACCTTTTTAAAGCAAAGGAACAGAAGAAGGCTGGGGAAATAGGATCGCAGGGAAAGTCCTTGGACTTGCACACAACTGACTTTAGTTCTACCCTGGAACCGCATCGGGTCCCTTGAGCCCCACCAGGAGTGATCCCAGATCAGAGCCAGTGGGAGGCCCCAAGCACCACCAAGTGTGCCCCAAACTGAAAGAACAAGCAAAAAGCAAGCCCCTAAGTCTAGTGGGCGCCAGGGGGCAAAATGCTCACTTTGGCTAAGACCTTGAGCAAAACAATGCTTTTATTTAATTTTGGTTCTGGGGCCACACCAGGCAGTGCTCAGGGCTTCCTCCTGGCTCTGTGCTCTCCTTGCAGGCTCGAGGCTCGAGGACCCTGTGCAAGGCCAGGGACCGAACTCGGGTCAGACAATTGAAAAGTCAGTGCCCCCCACCTCTGTAGTATTTCTCTGGCTCCCCAAACTACCCTTTTGGGAGGATGACCCTGGGTGAAACACAGGCAATGTTGGACGGAGACGCACAGGGAGAGAGAGGGTCGCAGCCCCCTTCTCTGGGGACGGTCTCCCTGTTGCCCGGTGTGACACCTGCTCTCAAGCTTCACCTGGCGGTGAAAGGGCAGTGAGACCTGGAGATCCTTCTCCGTCCTCTCATCCCAGTGCCTCGGCGTCTCGGCTGGGGCATCTCCCGGGTCCACCCTCCACTGCCCTGCACGTAGGGGGGTGCTAGCGGGAGGGGGCCAGGGGCTCACCAGGGCTCCCTCCAGGCAGGTGGCATAGTTGTAGCCGCGGCCCATGACCAGGAGTGACCTCTGCGTGTACAGCTCCAGGGCCAGGTCATGAATCTTCTGGTCCAGTGCCAAGACTTCCTTGATAAGCTCTGGGGGCAGAGGAAGAGATCACCACGATCCAGTAAGGGCGAACCAGGGCCCTTGGCACCGGATTACTCCACTGTTTCAGTCACCTGCATTCACTAACACGGGCTGGAGAGATGTCCAGGGGCTTGCACAAGGCTGACCCTGGTCTGACCCCCAGCACTGCACATGGTCCCCAGGGCCCACCAGGTGAGATCCCTGACCAGAGCCAGAAGCCAGCCCAGAGCGCCACCTGGTGTGACTGAACCCACCAAAATTCATGCATTATAGCACTGTAGCACTCTCCTCCTGTTTTTCATCCATTTGCTCGAGTGGGCACCAGTAACATCTCCATTGTGAGACTTGTCATTACTGTTTTTGGCATACCGAATATGCCACAGGGAGCTTGCCAGGCTCTGCCGTACGGGCAGGATACTCTCGGTAGCTTGCCGGGCTCTCCGAGAGGGACAGAGGAATCAAACCCGGGTCGGCCGCATGCAAGGCAAGCGCCCTACCCACTATGCTATCACTCCAGCCCACCAAAATTCATAATCAAATTACTGTTACTGTGTTTGGCATGTTGAATACTCTCAATTGCTTGCCACGCTCTCTGAGAGGGGCGGAGGAATCGAACTTGGCTCGGCAAGGCTGGCTGCATGCAAGGCAAACACCCTACTGCTGTGCTATCACTCCAGTCCAATAATCAAATTAAAATTTTTTGAAAAGCAAGGGGCAGGAAAGGCAGTACAGGAGTTAAAAAACTGCTTGCCTTGCCTGTAGCTGAGGTAGCAGCAATCCTGGTTCAAGTCCCTCAGAACCACTGAGCACTCCAGGGTCACTCCTGAGCAGGGCCAGGAATGGCCAGTGAGCGCTGCCACACCTCATGGGACCCCAAAGCCAAACCCAAATCAAACCAGAACTGAATCACGTCAACGGGTTTCAGTTCATACCGGAGGGAAGAAAACTCGGGTGTGGGTGAGGGTCTGGCTTGGATAGAGGCTCGGAGTTTGTTTGGGGTTTGGTTTTGGTTTGTTTGTTATATGGGGGCCACAGAGGAGCACCCCAGCTGCAGCAGCTCAGCGCACATTGAACAGGCCGGGGCCAGGGCGGGGGCCAGCGCTGGGGCCAGCCCGGCAGGTCCTACTCCCCGGCACAGCCAGCTCTCACTCTCCCACCCAGGGGACCCTCAGAAGACTCAGCACAGGCAGCCCAGGTCACGTACCAGGCAGGGACTTCAGCCCCAGGACGATCTCCCGCCTCCTGCTCTGCAGCGAGATGCGGTCCTGAGACATCATCAGCCCGAACATCACCAGGGAGATGAACTGGCTGGTATAGGCCTGCGGGCAAGAGGGCAGCATGGGCGGCGGGACCCTCCGGCCAGGGCTCGCAGCCCTGCTGCTCTGTGATTCCCCCTGGGGTCCACTGTGACGTCCCCGGCCCCCTGAGGTTCCCCGGGGGTGGGGGACACATGGGCCCACTTCCCTGTGCTGACCAGGCCCCCTCGGGCTCCGCCTCCCCGGCCAGAAACGCCCCCCGGGAGGCAAGTGTGGTCTGCAGCCTAGGGCTGACCAGCCCCTCTGGCCCCTTCTGGGGACACGCTATCATCTGACACCCGGGGCTGGCCCGCCCCCACCCACAGGACAGCCCCTTGGAGGCTACCTTGGTGCTGGCCACACCCACTCAGCCCCTCCCATTCCCTCACAGGGCAGCCCCCAGAGGCATGAGTGGTCAGCTACCTTGGTGCTGGCCACGCCCACCTCGGGCCCTGCGTTGATGTGGACCCCGCAGTCGGTCTCCCTGGAGATGGAGCTGCCCACCGTGTTGGTGACGCCCACAGTCAGCGCTCCGCGGTCCTTGCAGTAGCGCAGCGCCAGGAGGGTATCAGCTGTCTCACCTGCACACAGGAGTCGTAGGGTCCTGTGAACGCGCTGTGTCCCCACATTCCCCTACTGACCCCCCATCCCCCACTGCTGAGATGCTGGGGAGGGACACAGAACTGGGACCCGCCAGGCTTCCCTGGTGTTCCTGAGTGGGGAGTCTCACAAGCAGTGTTCAGGGGCCCTGGAGACCCACCTGGTGAGACTCAGTTAACTGGCCACACGTTCCTGCTAGGGTCCAGGCATGACTGGGGCCTTGCCCACCAGAGCCCAGCAGGTCGAGCTCAGACAATAAATTGTTCTCACCTCTCCCAGTCGTCCCATCCGCTCTCCCCTGGTCTCCCTACACCACTCAGCAGCCTCGTTCTGAATATTTTCCTTTTGGTGTTTGGACCAGGGATGCTCAAGGGATTACTCCTGGCTCTGCACTCAGTGATCACGTCTGGTGTTCAGTAACCACTCCTGGGTGAGTTCAGGGGGACCCTATGGGGTGCTGGGGATCGAATCTGAGTCGTCCTTGTGCAAGGCAAGTGTCCCACCTGCTGTCCTAATGCTCCAGCCCCTGGAGATGGGACATTTCAAATCAGAGCATCGGAACTGGGTTTAGGTGCATATAATAGCACCTGGTTTTTCTCCAGGTCCCTAAAACGGTTTGGAGTTTTTGGGTTGTGGTTACATTTGGTTGGAGAGGGGGAACCACACTGGGCAGGGCTCAGGGGCAATTCCTGGTTCTCTGCTCAGGAGTGACCACCGGCGGTACCCAGGGGGCCACATGCAGGGACCAGAAGTGCAGCACAGCAGGCAGGGCACTTGCCTTTGCATGAGGCAGACCTGGGTTCAATCCCCGGCATCCCATACAGTCCCCTGAGCACCTCCAGGAATAATTCCTGAGTGCAGAGCCAGGAGTAACCCCTAGGTATCACCATGTATGGCTAAATAAATAAATAAATAAAGAGTGCAGGGGACCACATGCAAAGCAAGTGCCCTCCATTCTGCCCTAACTACAACCACTAAAATGGATTTATTTTCTGTGGGGAGTGTTTGAGCCACATCCAGCTACACTTAGAGACCATTCCAGGCTGTGCCCTGCTCAGGAATAACACCCCTCAGGGTGCTTGGAAGATCATATTGGGTACCAGGGATTTGAACCAGGGTTGGTTGCATGTAAGGCAAGTGCCTTTCCTGCTGTTCTCTCTCTGCGTCCCAGTGCTTAAAAGGACTCTGAGCTTGTGGCCAGAGCTGGCTGAAAAGGAACAAAAAGCCCATGCCAAATTTTGGGACACCCCACCCTCGGTTTACTAGGGTTACTTAAGATAACCCAGCAGCACCGCGCCATGGCTCCCCTGCTAGACAACATGGGTACTGCACCGAAGCTGCCAGAACCTGAAGAGCGGCTTCCCTGGGCTCCCTCCCATTTCTGAGCACCCCGGGGAAAGGGTCCCGGAGGCCCTGAACTGGACTTCCCTCAGGGTAAATGAGCTGATACACTGTGTGGCTTAGGGCCGCTGGCTGGGGAAGGAGCTGTGATGCCCGGTGCTGCTGGACAGTCCTGTCCCCCTGGCCCCGCAGGGTGGCATCTTCATACCTGACTGGCTGATGAAGAAGCACACATCATCCCTGAACACGGGCGTGTTCCGATCTAGGAAGTCACTGGCAAGTTCCACCATCACGGGCAGCTCGGTCAGTTCCTCCAAGACCTGCCGGGTCTGAAACCAACCAGGATGGGGTGGGGTGAAGGTCAAGTCAAGCTCAGACAGGGGGCGGCCCCCGGAGGGGCTGGGGAAAGGACGCTGGCCACCCCCAAGTCACACAGTCAGAGTTAGGGCTCCTGGACATCACACGGGCTCGCGGGAGGACCCTTGCTCGGCACTTACGGCCACCCCGGCGTGGTAGCTGGTCCCACAGCCGATCATGATGAGTCTCCGGCACCGTCGAATCTCCTTCAAATGGTCTTTCAGGCCACCCAGGAGCACTGCAGGCGACAAGTGGGTGACATCCTGCCCCCACAGACTAGCCCTCACCCCCAGAGCCACCGTGCTGGGGTGGGCTCACCTGTGTTGGTCTCAAAGTTCACTCGCCCTCTCATGGTGTTGAAAACGGACTCGGGCTGCTCAAAGATCTCCTTCTGCATAAAGGCACTGAAGTTTCCTGCAGAACACAGACACCACATCGGTCAGTTTTCACTCAATACCCACCTGCTCTAGCCAGTTCCAAATCAGTCACATTTCTACCCAGGGTTTCCTTCCTGCCTGCCTGCCTGCCTGACGTGCTCCCTTCCACCCTCCTCCCTTCCTGTGATTTTTGGGCCACACTGGACAGTGCTCAGGGCTTTCTCCTGGCTCTGTGCTCAGGTCAGTCCTGGTGGGGTTCCCAGGAGTGCTGGGATCCAACCCAGGTGGCAGCAGGTGAGGCCAGCACCAAACCTGCCAAACCCACCTCTGCCCCTTCACCCTTTTATTTACTTACATTATTTTGGGGGGAACCACCCCACGTGATCCTCAGAGATCATCTCCTGGAGGGTTCAGGGGACCATATGGGATGCCCAAGATTGAACTCAGGTCAGCCCCGTGCAAGGCAAAAGCCGTATTTGCTGTAGAACCCTCTGGCCCCACCAAGCCAACTTTTAATTTAAAACTAGGGATGAGCTAGTGGAACAGGTAAAGGCCAATGCTCACGGTGGCCAGATTAGGTGCATCTAACCATCTCCAGTTTCCATACCACATGGAGTTGATGAAGTACCTCGCAAGGGGCCACCCCAAGTTTGATCCCCACCAACCACATCACCAAGCACGGCCAGGTATGCGCCCACCAGAAACCAAACAGAAACAATTTCCAGGTGTTCTTGGCAGCCTGAGATCCACAGGCAGCGCCCACCTGGCTGGATTTTCAGGCTGTTCCCTCTGCAAGGTCAGAAGGCTGCAGAGCGCTTTACTAGCAAAAACCCAGATAGCTCTTAGTTTGGAAGAAAAACTAAACAAACCTCAGGGCCAGAAAGAGTACAGTGGACAAGGCTCTTGCCTTGCATGCACCTGATCTCCCACACCCCACAGAGTCCCCAGAGCCCACCAGGACAGATTTCTTAGCACAGGGCAAGAGTGAGCCCTCAGCACTGCCGAGTGTAGCCTAATTAAAACACACACACATAGACACATACACACACACCATTCACACAGTCGGCGATAAATTATAAAGTGGCCAGGAACAGAAGGGCTCAGACCCACCTGTTACATAGAAAGGATGGGGAGAAGGGTCACTGAAACCATTAGATTAATAAATGTCTCTCTGGAGTAAAGAGGGAAATTGTCTGCCATAGAAGCAGAGGGAGGGGTTGAACGGTGGGGGGAGGGATACTGGGGACATTGGTGGTGGGGAATGTGCACTGGTGGAGGGATGGGTGTTCGATCATTGTATGACTGAAACTCAAACAGGAAAGCTTTGTAAGTGTAACTCACAATGATTTAATAAAAAAATAATAATTTAAAAATAAATGTCTCTCTGGGACCTAAAACAGAATGTATCCAGCAGCGAGACTCTTAGCAACATGCCCCCTTCCTGCCTCAGTGCACCTTAGTATACTGTGGTGAAGTAGCTGATCGAGAAACTCCTTTCTGTGCCCTTCTCCTGTTTCGCCATTGCCATGATTGCCAGAAAAACTCCTATCCAAGTGCTCTGTCCCCCTGCGCGGGACTGCAATTCCAGGTGACTGCCTTGCTGTGATCTGTAATTTTTTTTTCTTTTTGGGTCACACCCAGCGATGCTCGGGGATTACTCCTGGCTCTGCACTCAGGAATTACTCCTTGCAGTGCTCAGGGGATCATATGAGATGCCAGGAATCAAACCCAGGTCAGCTGCGTGCAAGGCAAATGCCCTACCTGCTGTGCTATAGCTCCAGCCCCTGTGGTTTGTCTTGACATTAAAGAATTACATTTTCCTCACATAGGCTTCTTTGCCCAATGATGCTCCCGCTGTGACTAGGTGAATTCCATTCCAGAAAAATCACAGTGGGTCTAGGAGGCCGTTGACAAGGACCCAATCGCACAGGTGAGCTCAGAGGCCCGGGTGGATCACGGTGTGGAAGGCAGTGTGGGGGCAGGAGAGAAACGTGGGTGCAGAGACAGATGTGAGTGCCGGGAAATAAAGGTGGGCGCAGGAGGTAGTTGGGGTTATAGGGTGTAAATACAGGTACCAGATGGATGTAGGTGCAGGGAAATAAATGTAGGTGCAGTAGACTATCTCTCCGGAAAGGAGAAAGCAGCACCTGGACATTAGCGTCAGACTCCCCGCCCAGGGGCTATATGGGGGCTGCCTGTGTCGCCCAAGAAAGTCCCCTGGAGTGAGGCACTAAGGCGTCTGCTCCCGTTCAGCAGGGCTCTTGCTCTGGCCACACTCAGAGCCCCTCGGAGGAGCCAGGTCAGGCCACACCTGCTGCTGCAGGAACCCCGTTGTCGAGGTCTGGGCAGGTTTTGTGACCCCAAGCACTCAGTGAACCCCAGCCTGCCTGGCCCAGGCCCCACCCGGCCCACGTGCCTTTCATGATCTGCTGGAGTTCCATCTGCAGCGTCTGAATGGCTCGGGAAGGGTCGTCGCTGGCCAGACGCTTGACACGGTGGATGGAGAGTTTCCCGTCAGCCACGGCGGCGATGTCGTCATCCTCCAGGAAGATGACACGGTTTGTGTGCTCAATGATGGCGCTTGGGGGGAGAGGAGGACCAAGGAGGGTCATGGCCTGCTGCACAGCGAGGTGGGAGTGGCTGTGTGAGGCCCTCAGGGGTGCGATCAGCGTTCAGGGCCGCATGGCTGATGTCTGAGGACCCCAGGCTGTGTCATTCACACCCGTCACCCCTGGAAGTATCGAGCAGCCAGTTCCAGATATACTGTGAACATTTCAGTTTCGAGATGAGCTCAAAGGCTTATCTAAAAGTCAGGCTTGGAGCTGGAGTGCTTGACAGTGGGAAGGCACTTTCCTGGCATGCGGCTGAGCCTCGTTCCCTCCCAGCATACCACAGGGTTCCCCGAGCACCATCAAGAGTGACTCCTGGGTGCATCCGGAAATGGCTCAAAAGTCAAAGTAAAATAAAAGAAGATAAAGTAAAAAATCAAATAAAGGAGGATTGCTCCACGGCTTGGAAGCCGGCAGCACATACTGGGGGAAAAGGCAGCTCAGATAGAGAAGGGAGCACCAAGTAAAGGGTGTTTTGAGGATCCGCTCGGGATGGGAGATGCAGGCTGAAAGTAGACTACAGACGAACATGACGGCCACTCAATACCTCTATTGCAAACCACAACACCCAAAAGGAGAGAGAGAGCAAAAGGGAATGCCCTCCCACAGAGGTAGGGTGCAGTGGGGGGATGGGGTGGGGGTGGTGGGAAGGATGCTGGGACCATTGGTGGTGGGGAATGGACACTGGTGGAGGGATGGGTACTTGATGATTGTATGACTGAGACGCAAGCACGAAAGTTTGTAAGTCTGTAACTGTACCTCACGGTAATTCATTAATAAAAGTAAAATAAAATGAAGGCTGAGCCCTTCAAACCCTCTCCTACCTGCTGAGTTTGAATGTTCATCACCCTCCCTGCCTTTGGGTGTGGGAAGGTTTGAGCAACACCTGGTAGTGCTCAGGGCTTCTTCCTGGCTCTGCATTCGGGGTTCCTCCTGGAGGTGCTGGGACTGAACCAGGCCCTCAACATGGCAAACATGAGCATAACCGCTGAGTCATTGCCCCAGCCTGAAAATATCCCAATATTCAAATACTGGTAATGAGTTCAGTGAGTCTTTTGTTTTGTTTTGGAGGGGGGCTGGGTCAAGTTAGATCACATCTGGCAGGCCCAGGAGTTATCCTGACCTCTGTGCTCAGGGGTTACTCCTGGTGGTAGTTGGGGATGCCAGGCAGTGTTGGGGATTCAACTGGAGTTGGCCACATGCAAGGAAAGGAACTTCCCCTCTCTACTATCTCTGATCTCATGAGTTCATTTTTTTTTGGGGAGGCAGAGGTTGGGTGGAGCACAGCCTTGTGTTTTTCCTGGCTCTGAGCTAAGGATTCACTCCTGGTAAGATTCAAGGGACCCTCAGTGGTGTCGGGGTTTGAACCCAGATCGGCCACGTAGCAGACAAGCACCCGACCTGCTGTACTATCACTCCAGACCCAGAAGGAATATTTCTATGGTCCTGATAAACAGCTAAGAAATAATCCTGTTTATTTTAATCCCTGCTGAGTTTGGAAAAACTAGAAAAATGAGGATAAGCAGCTCAAATGAAGTTATTTTCCTGTTTGTTTTTGGGCCAGACCTGGCAGTTCAGGGGTTACTCCTGGCTCTGTGCTCAGGAATTACCCCTGGAGGTGCTTGGGGCACCATAAGAGATGCTGGGGATTGAACCCAGGTTGGCCGCGTGCAAGACAAATGCCTTCCCCACTGTACTATCTGCTCTGGACCCTGGAATTACTTGTTATTAGTAATAATAATAACAAAACAATGAGTTACTCCCACTGATACCAAGGGAATCATAACGGAATGGAAGCTGAACGTTGGGGCTTCATGTATCTGATGTGTATTTCAGCTTGAGCCAGATCCCTGTCTCTCCTATAACACTGGGATAGGCGCTTGTCTTGCACACGGCCAACACAGGTTCGATCCTCACAACCCCAGAGAGTCCCTGAGCCCTGGTAGGGGGATCCCTGAGCACAGAGCCAGGAGCCAGCCCTGAGACCATCAGGTGTGGCCCCAAGACTCCCTGTTCCCCTGGCAAAACACAGACACTCTGCTGTGAGCACTGAAACCTGAAAAAACCAGACCTAGGCTGAAGGGAGCTCAGCGGGGAGAGCTCTGGCCTGGCATGCAACAGACCTATGTGTGATCCCTACACCCCGCAAGGTCCCTCAAATACTGTAAGGAGAGATCTCTGGGTACAGAGCCAGGAGTCAGCCCTGAGCACTGTTGGGGTGACCTAAACAAAAAATAATGAAGGAAAGAAAAAAAGGAAAGAAAGAAGGAAGAAAGAGAGAAGTAAGAAGGAAGAAAAAAGGAAGAAAGAAAGAAAGAAAGAAAGAAAAAAGAAAGATAGAAAGAAGAAGGAAGAAAGGGAGGGCAGAAAGGAGGAAGGGAGGGAGGAGAGGAAGGAAGGAAGGATGGAAGGAAGGAAGGAAGGAAGGAAGGAAGGAAGGAAGGAAGGGAGGGAGGGAGGGAGGGAGGGAGGGAGGAAGGAAGGAAGGAAGGAAGGAAGGGAGGAAGGGAGAGAAAAAGTTAAAGAAGTAAGCCCCCTGCATGCCCATGTCCGTGCTCCAGCCTGCAGCGTCTGACCCCCTTGGTTCTACTTGAGTAACAGCTGCTGAGGGAAGGTAAGTGGGGAAATAGAAGAAATGCTTGGGCCAGAGTGACAGTACAACAGACACAACAGTACAACAGCACAACAATACAACAGCTTGCCTTGCACATGGCTGACCCGGGTTCGATCCCTGGTATCCCATATAGTTCATGAGTACTGCCAGGAGCAATTCCTGAGTGCAGAGCCAGAAGCAACCCCAAAGTATCTCCAGATGTGATCCCCAAAACCAAACCAACAAACAGAAATGCGTTGCTGAATTGCCTGTCCTCTATGATGAATACCCGGAGGCGGCGCTGGGCCTCACTACCTGGCATCGGAAGCAAAGAAGAATTCCACAGCCTTGTCCCCGACGGCATGCAGACACGTGGAGCTGTCCAGCCGCTTCATCCTGGTCTTGGAGATATTCTTCACATTCTCAATATTCCCTAATGAGGAAAAGGAAGGGATGGCGAAGGGTCTGTTCAACGCTTCTGATTTCTGGTTTAGGAGGCCACACCTGTGCTCAGGAGATACTCCTGGCTCTGTGCTCAGGGATCACTCCTGGCAAGATTGGGAACATATGGGGTGCTGGGGTCGAACCCGGGTCAGCTACATGCAAGGCAAGTGCCTTATCTGCTGAACTACTGCTCTGGACCCAGGGAGCCCTTTTTGGCCCAGAGTTGAAGCGGGGTCAGCGGGACAGAGAACTGGGCAGGGCTGGGCGCTCCCGTGCACCGCACCCTCGAGACACTTACGGGTCTGGTACAGGATGGGTATCTGCTCAGTGGAGAGTTTGAATTTGCTACGCACGCCAATAAGCAGGGGGCTGCCTCTCCTACAGGGACGCAGAAGAAGTAAGAGGTAAGTCGCCCACGGAAAGAGACTATAGTTCACCTACAGGAAATAGACGGGAACCCACTACCAGATCAACTATTTTTCTTGGGGTGTGGGGGGTGGGGGTGAGGAGACTGAGCCACACCTGGCAGTGCTCAGGGGTTACTCCCAGTTCTGCATCCAGGGATCACTCTTGGCAGTGCTCGGGGGACCATGTGAGATGCTGGGGATCAAACCCAGGCTGGCTGCATGCAAGCGCCCTCCTCACTGTCCCATTCTCTCCTCAGCAACCCAGCCCTGCCATCAGGTTCTAACAAAATAATAACTCAAAATTCTAGTCTTTCTTTTAAAAAAAAAGTCACGAGACCAGAAAGATGGTACAGCAGGGAAGGCGCTTGCTTCGCGTGCAGCTGGCCTGGGTTTGATCCCCGTCACCCCAGACGATCCTCTGAGCCCCGCCTGGAATGATCCTTGAGCACTGCCAGAAGTGGGCCCTGAGCACTGCCAGGAATGGGCAGGAAAAAGTCAGAAGTGTGGTCAGAGGAGGCAGTGGGAGAACATGCCTGCCTGTACACGGTCAGCTAGCTTTGTCCCCAACACTGCACAGGGTTGCCTGGAACACGGAGTTGGGTTTGGTTCCCCCAAACCCAAGGCGACCCTCAAGACCAGAAGCTCCAGCCAGAGGGAGAGTGGGGAGCCCCAGTGGTTTAGCTACAAGCAGCCTCCTTCGTTTCCTCGAGACCCCCCCATCCCCCATCGCCAGTCCCAGATGCATTTGATGTCCTCACTGGTCATGCCAATGCCCATGTGTGTCTCACCTGGTGACGACAGCCTCTCCTGGGTAGTGAACACTCTTGAAAACCAAAGCAAATGCACCTTCCTGGAAGCAGAGAGGAGACGGTGGGTGAGCCTGGCTGTGACCTGAACCTTGGCCTCAGCCCCAGACCAGGTGCCCCAGTCCTGTCACTGCTCTGTGCATCTGTCCAGGACCTCAGGCAAAGACCATGGAGCTACTCCAGGCACAGAGGCCCTGACCTCGTTGTGTTTCCTGTTCAGTGGGGCAGGGAATCAAACCCGTGATCTTGTGCATTCAAGGCCTTATGCTCTGCAACTGAGCCCCAATGCCACCCACTCGGGGCGGGGGGGGGGGGGGAACTGGAATAGTCTTACCATCCCATCTCCTCCTAGGACACAGTACCTTTGAAGTGCTTAGAACTCAGCTATCTAGTTTGTTTTGTTTGGGGACCACGATGAGCAGTGCTCAGGGCTAACTCTGGGCTCTGCACTTAGGGATCACTCCTAGCAGTGCTGGGGGTAGAATCCAGACTCGCCACAAGCCAGGCAAGCACCTGACCCTACTGCACAATCGCTTCAGCTCCAGAACTTGGCTCAGCAAAGGCCAATGTCACTCAGCATCATACAATCCCCCAGAAGTGCTTGGGGGGCTATGCAGGGAGCCAGGAATCACCAGGGCCTTGCCCACATGAAACCTGTGCTCAAGTCAAGTATTTTCCCCGGTCATAAAAGGCCTGTTTAATTGGGGCCTCAACCAGGAGTGCTCAGGATTTACACCAAGCACTGTGCTCAAGGATGACTCCTTCAGGCCTGGGGACCATACACGGGGGCCCATACACAGTGCTGGGGACTAGACCCGGGTCGACCATGTGGAAGGCAAATGCCGTAGGCCCCTGAGCTCTCTCCCCGGGCCTCCAAACCCCAGGGGCCTTCAGCTGAAGTCAGGCATTTCCTATCTGATGTTCACTGCCAATTCATAGAAATTCCCCCATCCTACCCGGGGACTGACTTCCATCCAGACGCTGTCGGAAAGCCACCTCCCTCCCCCACGCCTGGCTTCTCAGCAGAGCTCTGGGACCAGATGGTGCCGCCAACTGAGTCCAAGATTCTGCTAAGCACACACTCCAGTCCTTTTTGTTGCTGTTGTTGCCTTTTTGCTTTTTGGATCACACCAAGTGGTGTTCAGGGCCTCTGCATTCCGGGTCACTCCTGGCAGGCTCAGGGGACCATACAGGATGCCAGGGATTGGACCCAGGTCACCACGTGCAGGACAAGCAGGCTGCCCATTGTACCGTCGCTCCAGCCCCCACACTGAACTCCTCTACCCTTCTCCTGTCCCTGACCCTCGCCTTGAGAAACCATCTTGAACCCTCTGCTCTTTGGAGTAAACTTGCCTAATACACGTTGACGGAAAACAAAGAAGAGGTCCGGCAGAAGAGCTCTGTGACTTACAGCACCCGCCTTGGTGGTCACAAGTTCAATCCCCAGGGCTCTCACATGTGCCAAGCACTATCCAGATGTCTCTGATCTCTGGGATGGCAAGCGATTTCCAGCCATGCCATAGATAGGCATGTGTGAATACCACAATAATGGGGAGTAACCCCTCCCTTCAGAAAATACTGACGCTAAGAAGGGACATGAACATCCAAGTGTGTGTGTGTGTGTGTGTGTGTGTGTGTGTGTGTGTGTGAGCATGCCAACTCCTGAGCATGAAGCTGGCAAGATGGGATTGGAGGTAGGAGCCCAAGGGAGAGTCTAGCAGGTAGAGCATCTGCCTTGCACACACCAACCAAGGCTCAATCCACAGTGCTCAATATGGTCCCCCAAGCCCACCAGGATAATCCCTGAGCGTAGATCTAGGTGTAAGCCCTGAACACCACCAGGCATAACCCAAAATCAAAGAAAAAGATAGGATTGTGGGGGAAGGCACTTGCCTTGGAGACAGCCCATCCTTGACTGAATCAAAGGCATCACATGGGTTCCCCCACATCGCACAGCCAAGGGCAGCCCCTGAACACCACCAGGGGGCGCTCCTGAGCACAGAGCAGGAACAGTCCCTGAGTACCACCAGGGGGCACTTCTGAGTACAGAGTGAGGAACTGCTCCTGAGCACCACCAGGGGGCGCTCCAGAGTACAGCATGATGAATTGCCCCTGAACACCACCAGGGGCCGCTCCGGGGCACTGAGCCAGAAAGTGGTCCTGAGTAGAACCAGGTGCAGTTCCCCCTCCACGCCCCCACGCCCCAAGAGAGTGAGGTCCTGCCAGGAGCATGTATGAAAATCCCTGAATTAAAGGAGTCAATCTTCACCATGGGACTAGTTGGCTCAAAACTGCTGAAAGGAACCCCTGACTTCCTGAGCACTGTTTACGAGCCCCCCTCTTTTGTACACCATCTGCAAAAATACACTGCCAGGAGAAGGAAGACCCTGAGCTGAGGCTCTTGGCTCTCACCAGCTGCTGGATGACCCGCTCCACCAGGGTCGAGAAGGAAACGTCCTCGGTCTCTCGGTTGTCGAACACGTACTTGATGAGCTTGGCGATGGTCTCCGTGTCTGTTTCTGACTCAAACTCGTAGCCTTTGCTTTCCTGGAGTTGGCGTGAGTTGCAGGAGCTCAGATGTGGGTCCCTGCAAAGCTGGCCAACCAGACCAGCCGCCCCTCTGCTCCCCAGGGAGCAGCTTCCGAGCCAGTTCAGGCGGGAAACAGCAAAACAAGGAGTGGAGGGAGGGGGAGGAGGAGTTGTGGCCCAGGAACCCCACAGTCCAGCCCTGAGTCATTCCAGCACGGCAGAGTTCGGCAGAGTTCCTGTGACTCCGGGCTGCTCCCTCAGCCCATTGCAAAAGAGCAGCGGGCAGATAACCAGCACCCGCCTGCCTGGTCACCCTGCGTCACCAGCACCTTCCCCTGAGCAGACGGTTTAGCACAATGACTTCAGAGGAATACAGGGTTTTCTGGACTCTACAGCAGAATACCTTGAATAGCCTGAGTACCACCAGGGGGGGTACTTGCAGAATAGCCTTGGGGGGGCACTCCTGAGCACAATCAGCAAAAGCCCCCAAGCGCCACAGGAGGCGCTTCTGAGCAGAGACACAAAAAGGGCCCCGAGCGCAGCCAGGGTGGATTAACTAAATGCTCTGTATCTTCTCCCCTCCCCAGGAACCTGGGGTGGGCACCACTAGGTTTCTGTTCAGAGCATCCTGGCTGTGAGTGACTCGCTCTCTGCTCCTGCCTTAGTTTGAGGCAACTGAGGTGTCTGGCAAATCTCAGGGAGCAGACCAACCCCCTATCCTGTATCTTCAGTGGCTTGGATGCTCCCCCAGAGGAAGAAAGGATCATACCAGAAACTTCCTCAGGTCCTTGTAATTCGTGATGATTCCGTTGTGGATGACGACAAATTCTGGAAGGAAAGTTGAGAAGTTCCAGTCAGGAGAACTAAGAGGGACAGGAGGGACGGCGCCTGAGCCAGCCCAAGGCCCCAGCACCAGAGTGACCGGACGGCTGCCTCTGATCAATACCCACCACCGCCTCTGATCAATACCCACCATGCCTCTGAGCAACACCCCCCGCCTCTGATCAATACCCACCACTGCCTCTGATCAATATCCATCACTGCCTCTGATCAATACCCATCACTGCCTCTGAGCTATACCCACCACTGCCTCTGAACAATACCCAACTCAGTTTTTAATCAATACTTACTACTGCCTCTGATCAATACCCACCTCAGTCTCTGGATAATACCCCCACTGTCTCTGCTTCACTGATACGTACTGCTGCCTGTGTCTAACTGATACCTGCCGTGGTCCCTGATCAAGATCCCCCGCTCCCTGTCTCTTCAATACCTACTGTTGCCTGTGTTTGATAAATACCCACTGCTGCCTCTGATCAATACTCACCAAAGCCTCTGTCTGATCAATACCTACCACTGCCCTGTCTCACCAATTCCCACACTGCCCTGCTGACACCTACATCCATCTCCGATCAACCCATCACCACCTCTGTCTGATCAATAGCTGTGGCTGCTTGTGCCTAATCGGTATCTACCACTGTCTGCCAACACCTACCGTTGTCTCTGTCGGAGCGCTGTGGGTGGCTGTTGACAGCATTGGGGACCCCGTGGGTGGCCCAGCGTGTGTGGGCAATGCCGAAGTGGGTCTCAAACTCCATCTTTAAGTCCATACTGTTCTGTTCTGTGGGGAGCGGGAAGGGGGCACCATTGAAAGCCCAAACCCCATGGACAGGAGAGACAACTGACCCAGGTTCTTCTGTCCCCAGAGCCCCACAAGGAGTGAGCCCTGAGCACAGAGCCAAGAGCCAACCCTGGGCACTGCAAGGTGTGGCCCCAAATCCCTCCTTCCATAAAAAAAAAAATGGCCCCAATTATCAGGTTCACTTCCTGGCACTCCACAGACCTTTGAGGACTTGGAATCAACCCAGGATATCCCCAGCACCCTCAGGGAGGCCGGGCATCCCAGCACTCACAACCCAAACACCACCACACCTGCAGGTCCTGCACTAAGCCGTTCCCCAACTGGCTGGGAGCCATGGGGGTGGGCCACTGCACCTCTGACCCATTCCTGGCAGGTCTTGCAAATACAATTTTGCTTCCTGGGGCTAGAGGGATAGCACAGTGAGTAGGGCGTTTGCCTTGCACAAGGCTGATCTGGGTTCGATTCCCAGTATTACATATGGTCCCCCAAGCACCACCAGAAGTGATTCCTGAGTGCAGAGCCAGGAGTAACCCCTGAGCATCGCTGGGTGTGACCCAAAAAGCAAAAAAAATAGTGTTTTCTTTTGTTTTGGGCCACACCTGGCAGAGCTCAGGGCTGACTCCTGGCTCTGCACTCAGGGATCACTCCTGGCAGGCTCGGGGGACCCTCTGGGGTGCTGGGGATCAAACCTGAGCTGACCATTTGCAAGGCAAGTGCCCTCCCAGCTTTCCCATCTCCCTGCTTGCCCCCCAGAACTTTCTACCAGACTGAACTGTTGCTGATTGAACAGGGTAGGCTGTGTGCACCCACCCACTGCACTCTGGCACTGCAACCTGCCAATGCAATCTGCACTGCACTGCAATCTGCACTCTGCCACTGAAATCTGCCACTGCAATAACCCACTGCAATCTGCCACTCTGGCAGACTGCTTAGCTTTCTTTCTGGTTTGGGGGTCACACGAAACAGTCTCCAGGTGTTAATCCTAGCTCTGTACTCAGGAGCACCCTGGTGGTGCTCGGGGGCCATAAGTGGTACCAGTGTGGGAACCAGGGTCAGGTGGTATAAGGCAAGTTTCCTGCTATACTATATCTTTTCTTTTCTTTCTTTTTTTTTTTTTTTAAATTTTGAGCCATACTCTGGGCTGAAGCAATAGCACAACAGTAGGGCGTTCACCTTGCATGCAGCCAGCCCTGCTGAGCCGGGTTCAATTCCTCAGCCCCTCTCGGAGAGCCCAGCAAGCTACTGAGAGTATCTCGCCCGCACAACAGAGCCCGGCAAGCTACCCGTGACGTATTCAATATGCCAAACACAGTAACAACAAAGTCTCCAATGGAGACGTTACTGGGCCCGCTCGAGCAAATCGATGAACAACGGGAGGACAGTGATGGTGACAGTGACAGTGAACCATACCCAGTGATGCTCAGGGGTTCCTCCTGGCTCTGCACCCTGGAATTACTCCTGGCAGTGCTCAGGAGACCATGTGGGATGGCAGGGATCAAACACATGCCAGGCAAGTGCCCTACCTGTTGTATTATCGATCTGGCCCTCTGACTGTACTATTTCTTGGATCCCTTAAAAAGTATTTTCAAAAGGAAAACAATGTTGTATCTTACCGTTCCATTTGGAAAAAAACAAAAAATAAAATTAAACCAAGGAAACCAGAGAGGTAGTCCAGGGTAGGGAGTGTGCCTTGCACATGGCTGACCCAGGTTTGATCTCTGTTGCCTCATGTGGTCCCCCAAGCCTTCTTGAGTGCAGAGCCAAGACTAGCCCCTGAGAGCCACCAGGTGTAGCTCTAATGCCTAAATAAGTAATAAATAAATAAAGTCAAGGCAAGAAGTTTTGGGTCTGGTAAATAGCCTAAAGGGCTGGTGGCTGCATATGGACTCCATGCCCCTTCCAAACACTGTGGGGTGTGGCCCTGAGCGGCATCCCAGGAACCCAAGTAGTGAACCACCCCAGCCCCACTGGCTGAGTTTCACCAAAGAAACCCCTTGCACCCCACAAAGCGTGCCTAAGACCAACAGACACAAACTGAATGCTGAGCTGGAGAAATACCCCAGCGGGTGGCCAGTCTCTGATGGGCCACCATCGTCCCCTCAGGTCTTCTGAGCACGGCCAGGAGCGACCCCTGCTCACAGTCAGCCCTGAACACCAACACCCCCAAACAGGTGGAGAGAAGGAAACAGACACCTAAGCAGGAAATGGGAAATAAACAGCTTCCGTGGCACCCGCTCCTCCAACAAGGCACCCACAATGCAGGCGGGCTTGGCGCCCAGCCCAGATGTGGGTGATGCAACTGAGGGTCACCAGCACGGAGAAGGGAACACCCATCATGCCCTGGACACTGACCGTGAGCACTGTTCTACCTGACTCAGAGCACTGTTCTATGTTGACTCAGCACCAATTCACACTGGCTTGGAGCACTGTTACATGTGACTTGGAGCACTATTTCTTGTGCCTCGAATTGTGTCACGTGGATTTAAAGCACTACTCCACACTGACATGGAGCACTATCCCCCAAGGCTCGGAGCACCATCCCACACGCAGCACTTACTGTAGAGCTCCTCGTCCAGCGCCTTGACGTTGCCCGTTTTCTTGACAAGCTGGATGTGCCGCTCCTTGACTTCCCCGTTGCTCCCGTCGATGGCCACACCTGCAGGCAGTGGACACGAGCTTCTGTCTGCCTGTGCGTCTCACGGCAGTCTCTCCCTGCCCTCCCCGGAGAGGAGCTCTCTCTCGAGACTGCAGGAGACAGAGCTCTGGCTGGGAACTGACTGGCCCAGGGCGCTGGGGCTACTGGAACACTGTGAGGGGCTCAACCCTGAACAGGGAGGGGCAAGAGGGAAGGGCGCTCCTTCCTCGCTCTCTGCGGGCATTTGTCTTGTTTGAGATCTGCGTTCTAGTGCTCAAGCGTGTCTCAGAGCACTCCTGAACTCGGTCATGACTTTCTGCTAAGAATCGACAGAGGTGGGGTAGGGGGCCACCAGCAGGTCAGCCTGTACCTGCGGGCCAAGGGCATCAGCAGCCTGATGGTGCCTTAGGCTTCCTGACACCCCCCAAATTGCCACTGTGCCTCTGACCGGGTCCCAACAACTCAGGAACAAATTTCCTGAGAAATTAAATGGCCAAAAGTTAGGTATGTGGGAGCCACGCCCACAAACCACTATACAAGCTCATTTATCAGTCTTGCTCCAGAGACCCATAAATAAATCTCAAAAGAGATCAAAAGCCACAGTTAATCTGAGACTTGTGCAAGGCTGAACAGACTGGGGTAAATTGGAGGGGGGCAGGTCAGCCTGGTGCTCACCTAGGCAGAGCCCCAGGCAGCCGCTTGCTTCCACAATCCAGAAATACCGCTAGACCCCAGCCTGACGTCACTGTCTCAGGATGAACCCCACTGAGATATAATCTGCTGAAAATTCGGGTATGCAAGTTTTGTGACAGAAATCTCCAGGCTTCCTCAGGGTCGGGATGGGCTACCTCCCCCCAACCCCTGTACTTCCAGACCCATCCACATCCCAAAGCTGTCACCTGGCTAAAAGCTACTCCAGCCTTAACTGTCCTGATAAAAATACTAAATGCCCTGAACACACATGATGACCTCTTAGTACCTGTATTGCAAGCCATAATGCACAAAAGGAGGAGGGTGGAGGTGTGGGGGATGGGGGATGGTGGGAGGGAATGGGGGACACAGGTGGTGGGAAATGCACACTGGTGGAGATGGGTGCTGGATCATTGTCTGACTGAAACCCAGTCAATGCACAGCTTTGTGATGGTCTGTCTCACGGATATTCAATTAAAAAATTTTTTAAGTATTGTGGAGTTCATGCCTGCTTCAGTCAGCTAAGAATAACTAGCAGTACCTCTACATTAAAAAAAAATCAACAGAAGGGTGGGCAGAGGGATAATGCAGTAGGGAGGGCACTTGCTTGCAGGCAGCAAACCCAGGTTCGATCCCCAACACCATATGTGGTGTCGATCCCCCAGCCCTGTCAGAGGTGAGCCCTGACTCAGAGCCAGGAGCCAACCCTGAACTGCCACTGTGCCCCGCCCCCTCCCCTAAATCTGGTGGTGGAGGAACTGAACAGCAGAGAAGCAGGGAAGTGCTTGCCTTTGGACGCTCTGACGGGGGTCATCAGATCCCCACGACCACATCAAAGTTCCCCCCCAGGAATGAGCCTGGAGCACAAAGCCAGGAGTCAGCTTTGAGCACCCGTGGGTGTGACCCCAAACCAAAAAACAAAAGATTTAATGGTGGGAGGTAGACTATGGGGGTTAAGACACCAGCCTTTTTTTCTTTTTTGCTCTTTGGGTCACACCTGGTGATGCACAGGGGTTACTCCTGGCTCTGCACTCAGGAATTACTCCCGGCAGTGCTCAGGCAACCATATGGGATGCTGGGGATCGAACCTGGGTTGGCCACATGCAAGGCAAACACCCTCCCTGCTGTGCTATCCTCCGGCCCCAAGACACTGGCTTTTTTATGTGGCTGCTTTGGTTGATACTGGATTGAATCCCCGCACCCCTAGGAATTATTCTTGAGCACTGAGTTAGGAAAAGCTCCTAAACTGGGTGTAGTCCCCATCAGCCCCCCAAATAAAGAATCATCAGGGGTGGGGTCAGAGAGATGTCACTGGGCTGGATATCTGGCAACACAGGTTTTGCCCCAGCATTTGTGTGTGGGGGTCCCCGATGACTGCTGGAAGTGAGCCCTGAGCACAAAGCCAGGACTAGACCCCAGAAAAATGGCTGGATGTGCCCCCAAACCAAATTCCAACAGAGCAGATATAGGTGAGGGGGATCTGGCAACAGATGTGTTGAACTCCCGTCCCTCCATCCATCCCTCCATCCGTCCTTCCATCCGTCCCTCCATCCATCCCTCCATCCGTCCCTCCATCCGTCCCTCTATCCGTCCCTCCATCCCTCCATCGGTCCCTCCGTCCGTCCTTCCATCCATCCCTCCATCCATCCCTCCATCCGTCCCTTCATCCATCCTTCCATCCATCCTTCCATCCATTCTTCCATCTGTCCTTCCCTTCTTCCGCCAGCCAACCTGGCAGTACTCAGAATGGGCCCCTGGCTCTGCCCTAGGAACCTCTCCTGGAGGGCTCGGGGATCGTTTCAGGCACCAGGGACAGAACCCAGGTGGGCTGCCTGCAAGCTACCCTCCGCTGGATGGCCACGCCCACCTCCAGGCACGCTCCTTTTTCTCTTTCTGACTTGGGGGCTCCCGAGGCCACTGCTCAGGGCTAAGTCCTGTTCAGGGATCACTCCTGGCAGTGCTTGAGGGATCCTAGGGTGTAGGAGACTGAACCGTGGTACGCGACTATGAAAGTACGCAGGGTGCCTTTCCCGTCTCCGGACACCGTGTGTGTCTCTGTGCGGGGATCCGCCAGCCTCTGAGTGTGCAAGTCCAGCCCAACAGACCTGCAGAGTCATAGCCTCGGTACTCCAGCCGCTGCAGACCTCTGATGAGAGTCTCGAAGATCTCCTTCCTCGTGCGAGGAACCCTGTAGTTCATGTAAGCGAAGATTCCTGGGGAGAGAGGGGTTGGGAAACCCAGTGGGTGGAATGCTCTTCTAGGAGGGTGCTGAGACACTTTGGGGGCACAAGCAGCCCGGCAGGCTGGCCCCACCACCCCATTGCCTATCGCGCAGTAAGAGGACCCAAGGAAGCAGAATCTACCCCACCCCCACCCACCAGAGGACAAAGTGTCTGCGCAGCGGATGATGAAGCCAGTTCACGGGACAGGCTTTGCAGCTCTGTCTGTGCCCTTTTCCCAGGGATCTAGATGAGCAGCAAGAGGCAGTTTATGACAGGAAGACGCTCCCTGCACCCAGGGGCTCCCTGTTCAGGCCTTGTTCAGTGCAGGCAGGGCACTGCTGTGGAAGGAAGGGCGGGGAGGCGCAGGCTGGAAGCAGTTCTGTTTCTATGGGGTGGACACACCCAACAGTGCTCAAGATTCACTCCTGGCTCTAGCTCAGGCCTCAGGGCAGGGCTCGTTGGACCCTATGGGGTGGTCAGGGTGGAACCAGGGTTGGCCATGGTCAAGGTCAGCACCTTAAACCCTGGACACCTCTGAGCCCCCCGGACAGTCTGTTCTTTTTCTTCTGGTTTGGGGGCCACACCCAGCGGTTCCCAGGGCTGGCTCCTGGCTTTGTGCTCAGGGCTGACTCCTGGCTTGCTGGGACGCTATAGGGTGCTGGGGATCAAACCCAGGTCAGCTGCAAGGCAAACGCTGCCTGCTATACTGTCTCTCTGACCTCTGGTGGAAATTCTTGCTTCTTGCTTTCGAGGTTCATCCACGCTGTCCTAAAGGCGCAGGTCACTCCTGGGTTGCAGAGGTATGGCCAGAAGCCTCGGGAGCGAGGCAAGAGGCTGGACAGGCGTGGCTAGAGGCAGGGGTCGGGTGGGGGGCATATGCCCAGAGACTCCACAGGGGAAGCTGGGAGTCACAGGTATCAGTCTCCTGAAAGCAAGGGTGCAAACCGCCTTGCAGAAAGGAGAGCTGAGGTGGCAGGAGGGCTGCAGGGCAGGTCTCCGGGGAAAGGGATCCTCTCTCTCAGATCAGTGAATCCACGGGGGCCGCCCCGCCTCCAGAGCCCTGGGGATCTGAGGGTTAACAGGTCGCTGAGATGACAGGAACCCCTGCTCCAGAGTGGGCAAGGCGCTTCTATTTTTAGGCAAAGATTCCTGGAGAAAGGAGGGGCGGGAACCCAGTGGGTCAACTGTTCTGGGAGGGTGCTGAGTACGTCTGGGGGCTGGCCCCTCCCCCAACGCATGGGGCCCTTGTCATCTTAGGATTTTCCACCCGGAGCAGAGAACAGCGACACACACTAAATCCTACTCAGATACCTTTTGGGTGGGGGGAGGGGGGCAGCAAGGCTTCAAAGTGCCAACTTTTGGCAATTAAAAACAGCTGACTGGGGCTGGAGCGATAGTACAGCGGGGAGGGCGTTTGTCTTGCACGCAGCCGACCCGGGTTCGATTCCCAGCATTCCATATGGTTCTCCGAGCACTGCCAGGAGCAATTGCCTGGTGTGACCCAAAGAGGGAAAATAAAAACAAAACACGGCTGGCCCTTCTTTCTTTCTTCCGGGTGAGAGAACAATTCCTTTTGAAACAGAGCAGAGACGGCTTAATTGCTCTTGCCACCAAATTAATCTTTAGAGTTTTCTCTTATGATCCCGTGCTGGTGATGGTGGGGGTATTGTTAGAGCCACAGGACAGGAGGGGAGGCGTCTGCCTTGCAAGTGGCCAGCTGGGGTCCCACCAAACCCTCCCAGGAGTGACTCCTGAACACAGGGCCAGAGGAAGCCCTGCGTACCTTGAGGTGTAGCCAAAACTCACAAATGTGTGTGTGTATGTGTGTTTGTGTGTGTGAGTGTGTGTGTGTGTGTGCGCGCAAGTGCGGGCATGAGCGTTATTCTCCCTTTATAAGCAAAAGGTGCTAAATAGGCCAAAGATCTATTTAAAAGTGCTGTTCACAGAAACAGAAAACACAAAATGGGGCCTGAGAGCTAACGCAACAGCTATGGTGCTTGCTGTGCCGGGAGCTGACCTGGGTTCAATCCCCGATACCTCACATGCTACCCGGAGCCTGGCCAGGAAGGGATGGCGGGGCACAGAGCAGAGAGAAAGTCCTGAGCATTGCCAGGTGTGGCCCCAAAATAAAAACAATACACCAAAATAGCTCTTACTAGAGTTCACAGGACTTCCAGGGGGCTTTCAACTTGGGAACCCCCCATGAAAAAATAACCAGTCAGTGGAGGAAAAACAAGAGACTGGGCAATGCAGAAGGATGTGGGGAAGGGGAGGAGAGCTCATGAGAAATGGAGTCACCAGGAGCCCGGGTGGCAGGGTAGGGTGCACAGAGAGGCAGACCCAAAAGTCCACCAGAAAAACCAGCAACCTAGGGCCACTGATTCACCAGGAAATCATCAAATGTGGAAGGAAATCAACAAACGGGGGTGGGGGGAATCAACAAACCAGGAAATCATCAAACAGGGCAGGAGTGACTAAGGGGTGATATGCAAGGGGCTGGGGTGGAATCTGCTCAGCGACTGGGGCAGGGGTGAAAGGCAGTCCCCTCCCCCACCAAGCAACGGGTCCCCAGAGAGTCCAGCTCCTTTCCCCACCCCAGGCATCTGTCCTTGAACTGAGGTGTCACCCAGAGTGTCAGATAAGATGGAGGCTCCAGGTCTCTGGAAAGTCTGGGGATGGGGGAGGGGTGGGGGAGGGGGGAGTGGGCTCTCAAGCTCTCAAGGTGGATTTGAGTTTCTTGACAAGCTTCTTGACACTGTGTGTGTGTGTGTGTGTGTGTGTGTGTGTGTGTGTGTGTAGGGGGAGGAGAGAGAGAGAGAGAGAATGCCTGTGAAAGTGTCTCTGTGCAGGTGTCTAAATGCATGAGGGGCCAGAGAGACAGAATAGCAGATAGGGCGTTTGCCTTGCACATGGGTTTGTTCCCAGCATCCCATATGGTCCCCTGAGCACTGCCAGGAGTAATTCCTGAGTGTAGAGCCGGGAGTAACCTCTGAGCATCACTGTGCGTGGCCCAATAACAAACAAAAGTGTGTGTGTGTGAAATTACGTGACTGTGTATATGCATGTGCCAGAATATGTGTGAGGGGGGTGGGACCAGTGCATGCATGTGGGGATAAGAGGAAGCGAGCGACCTACATTTATAAACAGATGTGATGAATGACATACACATACATATAAGGTGAAGGGGGTGGCAGTCCTACAGATATACAAGATGCAGTGAGTGACACAGGCATGAAACGTGAGTGGCATATACATACAAGATGTGGTCAGTGACCAAATATGTAAGATGTGGTGATGTACACAGACATGTAAGATGCAGCGACACACACAGATGATGTGAGATATCACTATCACTATCACTATCACCCTATTGTTCTTCAATTTGCTCAAGCAGGCCCAGTAACATCTCCATTCATCCCTGTCATGTGCAAGTGTAGCCCAATGACATATTTGGGGGCTCCTTCAGGGTGAGGGGAATGAGGACTATTCCTCATATATTCACATATATATGTGAGATTATATATAAAATATTACACACATGTAAGACGTGGTAGCACATATAGGTAAGATGGGACATATAAATACAAGATGTGATGCATATGAAATGTGATGACACATGTAAGATATGACTAGTTACATACATACACGGTGTGCTGACATATCCGTATAAGATGGACACAAATATACATAAATGTGAGTGACACATACAAGATGTGGTGAATTACGCTTACATAGAAGGTGCGGTGACACATACAAAGAAGATGCAGTGAGTGACACAGACACAGAAGATGCGACGACACATCAATACATAGAGGATGCAGTGACACACAGAGATGCAGTGGGTGACACACATACATGTAAGAAGCAGTGAGGAGTGACACAGAGGATACAATGACACAGAGACATAGAAGATGCAGTGAGTGATGCACAGAAGATGCAGTGACAAATAGATGCATAAGAGATGCAATGAGTTACACATAGGAGATGCAATGAAACATAGACATACAACATGCAGTGAGTTACACATAGAGAATGCAATGACAAAGATACATATAACATGCAGTGAGTTACACATAGGAGATGCAATGACACACAGAGACACACAACATGCCGTGAGCAATACAGACACAGAAGATGCATCGACACATCGAAATATCTATACGATGTCGTGAGTAACACATGCATAAGAAATGCGGTGCCACAGACACATAGGAGACCCGGTGAACAACACACACATAAGACGGAGTGGGGGCGCACAAAGCAGAGGGCAGGGTTAACTCCTTGCTCCACTCTGGCTGTAGCCACGTCTGTAAGCGATGGGCTGTGCAAGGTCACTGCTGTCCATGGCTGTCCACAGCTGTCCATGGTCAACCATTACTTGAACATCTGGGACCCAAAATCACAGACTTTGGGGGTGCAAGCACCAAAGGGAGAGAGTACCCAACACCACAATGACCATCAGGGAATCTGCCAAGGTCATTTGCATGGCATGTGTGGTGGTGGGGGTGAACTCAGGGCCTCAACCCCAGTGCCTGCCCTGGACATGGTTATTAGGTGAGGGGGCTACTCAAGGGGACTCCATGCCTGGACCCCAGCCAGCTGGTGGTTCCATGTGAGAAAGGGGCCACCTGGCCCCTACAATCCTGGGGGTTTCCCAGAACACCCCGGACGGCTGCACCCAGTGATGCTCATGGATCTAACAGGGCTTGGTCGCCTATGAGGAAAGTGTCCCAAGGCCAGAGCAACAGCACAGTGTGGAGGCCTGTCCTGCCTGCAGGACTCCACCACCGCGGGATGTACCTCATGGAGACATTAATTTGTTGAAAATTCAGGTATGCGGGCTTTGTGACTGAAATCTCCAGGCTGTCTCAGTCAGGATGGGCTACCTTGCCCCACTCCCCTTATTCCTGGAAGCACCGGCATCACCCCCAGCAACCAACACCAGCGCCACCATGAAAACTCTCCTACCAGCCTCGCTACAGAGACCCACA